TTCTTGAACACATATCCAGTTTGTGAGCGGGCTTTATGCGGATCAGAGAGAAAACCAATATCTGCATATCTAACAAGGACCTGATCATTTGTGGATTTATTTGAGTAGAAGAGACTCATGTCTGTTATCCCATGAAGGTATCGCAATACATCTTTGACTCCCTTCCAATGACGAATTGTTGGAGCAGAGTTATACCTTACTAACAAGTTGATTGAAAAAGGTATATCTGATCTAGTACATTGTGCTAAATACAATAAATCACCTATTACACTTCAATATGGTACTTCTGGACCAAGGACCAGTTTATCATCTTCTTTTGGAAAAAATGGAACTTTCTTAATGTCCAAAGAACGAACGACCATTGGTGTGCTGAGTGGATAAGCCCATACCAAATCGCTTCAGAATTTTTTCAATGTAAGCTGATTGGTAGACCAAAATTCCACTAGCACAATGCTTGATCTGCAGGTCGAAACAATATTTTGTTTTTCCATGTATTTCATTTCAAATTCGCTTTTCAGATATTCAGAAGCTTTATTGAGTTCTTCAAGGGTTTCAACTAGGTTCATATCATCGACATATACTGCAACTATAGCATATCCAGTGTTGGATTTCTTAATGAACACACAAGAGCAAATGACATTGTTGGTATACCCTTCTTTGATCAAATACTTACTGAAACGATTATACCACATTCAGTCCAGATTGTTTCAGCCCATACAATGATCACTTTAATTTGATTAAGAGCATACCTCGTGGTTTGTTAGTTGTTTCAAGCAACTTAAGTCCTTCTGGACTTTCATAGATATCTCAATATTTAATTTTCCATATAGATACGCGGTGATGACATCTATAAGTTGCATGTCAAGTTTTTCTGAAACTACTAAACTTATTAAGTAACGGAACGTAATTGCATCCATTACAGGAGAGTATGTCTCCTCATAATCAATTCCAAGTCTTTGTGAAAAGCTTTATGCAATGAGTCGTGTTTTATATCTTGCAATCTTGTTTTTCTCATTTCGCTTTCTTATGAATACCCATTTGTAACCCACAGGGTTTATACCAAGCGGGGTTTGGACTGCCAGTCCAAAAACATTTCGCCTTTCCAAAGAATTTAATTCTGCCTGGATTGCATTTTTCCACTTAGGCCAATTTTATCTTTCTTTGCATTCATCAACAGAGCGGGGTTCAATATCATCACTTAATATGATTTCAGTGGCTACTGCGAATGTGAACATGTTGTCGATGATTATTTTATTCTTATCCCACAATTCATTAGTACAAGCATAATTTATGGAGATTTCTTTGCTTTCATGCACCTCTGTTTCTTCAAATACATGTGTCTCTTCAATGACATTTTCTTTTTCTGAAAGTACAGGATCATGAATTATGGATTTATCATTCATTTTTTTCTTCTTGAATGATTTCGTTTGGATTCAGTTGTGCCATCGTCTTTTTCTTTCAAAAGAATGAATCTTTGGAACCTAGGAGTCTACCACGCTTCAGATGTGCACCAGATGAATCATTCGTTGACACTTTATTTTGTCCAACAGGGACATCAATTCTTGCAGGTGCATTTGCAGCTGGTATATGTGATTTTGTCACTTTCATAGCATCATTAAATGCATCTGGCATTTGATTGGCGATACCTTAAAGATGAACGATTATTTTCACTTCATTTTCACATTGAGTGCTATATGGATCAAAATGAGATAAGGTGGGAACAGCCCATGTCAGCTCTTGTCATTCTTCTGGAACGGTCTTTTCTCCCCCTAACGACGGGAAGACTATCTCATCAAAGTGACAATCAGTAAAACAAGCTGTAAACATATCACCTTTCAAGTGTTCCAAATATCTAATGATACAATGAATCAAAACCCACATAAATTCCCAGTCTGCGCTAAGGTCCCATTTTAATGCGTTGTGGTGGTGCAATAAGCACATAAACAGCACAACCAAAAACTCGTAAGTGTGAAATGTTTGGCTAATGCCCAAACACGAGTTGCATTGAGGAGTATTGGTAGTTGGTTATAGGTTTCAATCAAATCAATGATGCAACATGTAAGATGGCATGTCCCTATGCATAGACTGACAATTTTGTTTTCATGCGCAGAATGCGGGCTATTAATTGAAGCCACTTGATAAATGCATTTGCTAGACCATTTTGAGTATGGACATGAGGAATAAGATGTTCAACATCAATGCCCAATGTCATGCAGTAATCATCAAAGGTTTGAGACGTAAATTCACCAGCGTTATCAAGTCGGATTGACTTAATAGGGTAATCTGGGAACTGTGCTCGCAACTTAATTATCTGAACAAGAAGTCTTGTAAAAGCTACACTCCGAGTAGATAAGAGACAAACATGTGACCATCGGGTAGATGCATTAACCAAAACCATAAAATATCGGAATGGTCCACATGATGGTTAAATAGGCCCACAAATATCCCCTTGAATTCTTTGCAGAAATGATGGGGATTTAGCATCAACCTTTAGTTGTAATGGTCTAATTACCAACTTCTCTTGAGAACAAGTCTTACAAGGGTTATCATTTGAGATAGCAATGTGTCTGATCAATAATGGATGGTCATTAAAGTTGGCAATGATTCTGCGCATCATGGTAGCTCCTGGATGACCTAGACGGTCATGCTAAAGCATGTAAACTTTTGAATCAATGAACTTCTGGTTCATGACAATATGTGATTTAACTGTCTTTATGTATGTATAATATAATCCACTTGTCCAACCATGCAACTTCTCCAATATACACTTCTACGTATCATTGGAGGTAATGCATAGATACTCCACATTTTTTGCACTTTTTGTTTCAATATGGTATCCATTTAAACGTATGTCTTTGAAACTTAACAAATTTTGAGTAAATCGAGTAGCGTATAATGCATTCTGTATGGACAATATTGTTCCATTTGGTAATATAATCTGGGCTTTTCCTGAGCCTTCAATTACATCTAATTGGCCTGATATTGTTGTTACCCTTACGTTTGTAAGGATCAATCTTGAGAAATACTTTCGATCTTGAAGTATTGTATATGTGGTTAAGCTGTCTGTAAGACAAATATCGTCGTCATTTCTCATGTTTTGAGAATGACCATAGTTTTTATCCATACTTTCTTAGTAAAGGGGATCACAGTTAAAAACAATTTATAACAGGAAATTTAAATGTCACTTTAATTGAATTTGAAATGCTAGTTTTAAACTACAAGTTCAGTACATCAAACATAAATGATTCAGTCAGACTAGTACACTTCAATCCCTATTTCCACAATGAAGTCTGAAACATCTAGGTGGGTTGTGTTTAATTGCCCTCAAAAGTCACACACTGCATTAGGTATATTCATTGGTTTAGCCTGATCGAGAAAATTTGTCTCAACACCCTTCTCCTTAATGGAGGCTTATATAGATCCACTAGATGTTTTGGGGTACGACAAGTATGCGCCCAGTGCCCATTGCCACCACAACTATGGCAAGCTCCTTCAGAGTTTTTGGAAACATTGTTCATATGAGCTTTGCCTTTGTGGCGATTTACATTTTTGAAGCTCGGGCCTAAATTATGCTCTGGTTGTGAAACTGTACATCATGATTCTTGCCTTTCCCGTTCCACCGTCCTCGCCTGTGGCTATGTCCTCGTTTATGATTATTACCACCAAAGGGTGTGGCGTTCACTTCGAGGGAAGCATCATTCACTTCTGGGAATGGTGCAAATCCAGTAGGTCGGGAATGATGATTTTTTCATCAAAAGCTCATTGTTTTGTTCAGCTACTAGGAGCATAGATATCAACTGGTTTTATTCAGTGAAACCTCGCTCTCTATACTGCTGTTGTAGGAGCACATTAGAGGCATGAAAGGTGCTAAAAAATTTTTCCAGCATATCTTCCTCAGTGATGGTTTCCCCATAGAGTTTCATCTGGGAGCTAATTCTGAACATCGCAGAATTTTACTCAGCCACTGACTTGAAATCCTAGATCCTTAGGTGAGTCCACTCATAACGAGCTCTTGGAAGAATCACTGTTTTCTGGTGATTGTATCTGTTTCTTAATGCATTCGAGAGAGCTAACGGATCTTCAACCGTTAGGTACTCGCTCTTTAGTCCTTCATTAAGGTGGAGACGGATAAAGATCATGACCTTCGCCCGATCTTGAGAAGATGCATTGTTCTCCTCCTTGATTGTTTCTCCAAGATTCCCTACCTCCAAATGGATCTTGGTATCCACTACCCAAGTAAGGTAGTTCTTCCCAGTAATGTCCAGGGCAACAAAATCAAGTTTTGCCAAGTTCGTCATTTTCTTTTCTGAAAGAAAACTAAGATGTGTAAGAACTTGCAATAATATGTATTCTGAAGGTATGTAGTGTTAGAACTTCTGATTCTTATAAATTTTTCATTTTGATATTCAGACTAAAATGTAGTGTTACTACGGTCTAGTAGTATTTCTCTTCGCTTGGAAATGAAAGGTCTTAGGTTCAAATCTCGTGAATAGAGAATTCGATACCAAATTAGGTTGCCCACTATGTGACTTGGTCGAACTGCCCCTCCTCTTAGTGTAAAAATATCGATGTTCTCAAAAAAAAAAAAAAAAAAAAAAAAAGAAAGAAAGAAAGGAAAACAATGTTTCCATCTTCATTTATAATAGATTGTTACATGTGACTATGATAGTCTGGTAGGTTTGAGATGTTACCATGAGTCGTAATCGAAGTGTCAACAAATCTCTCTCCTCACTAAGTTATATTGCGTGTCATAGTGTGTATAGTCACTCATGCGGGTGTAAGCGATTTCTAATTATAAATCATTACAACTATACATGACCCACAATTAGAAATGACCAACGCTTATGGTAGAATTAGTCACCCAAGCACGCATGAGTGATTTTTTTACCACGGATTACTAAACCACCTAAATTTGATACGGTAAACATAACCCTATATTTAGGTACGATTGGATGGAGTTGCCATTCAAGATCAAGCAACTTAGCAAAATGCACGAGAAGAAAACACAAGGAATTAATTCTTGAGTTGGGTAAAAGGTCCATTGTGGACGTCATTACTTGTTCATCAGATATTACTTGAAACATGGAATGAATACCACAATATCATGGTACTCTAAATTAATATGCTAAATCTAATCCCAAAAAAATAATTATTCACTTAAGCAGTCTCCTCATTATGAGCAATGAATTCAGAATTAAATGTGTCTAATTTTGTTGTTTGAGACCCAAAATCAGGGGTGCAAATAACTACACGACGCTCCCTTCTTGCAGTGCCCGCTTTCGTAATATTTACAAACCCGCTGCCCTTTGGGGGGAGGCCTGAACGAACCTCCGTTTCCGTTTCCGTTTCCGTTTCCGTTTCCGTTTCCATACAATGTCTGCCTGTTCCATCCAAACCTACCCCTACCGATACCTAAATCCCTATTCTGGAAACCACGATCTCGTGGACTGAAGAATCTTTCTTCACCATATCTTGGTTGGCTTTCCCACATGCCCCTGGCCGGCAACTGATGACCTGGATGAATGCTCGTGTTTCCATGTGTTATGCCCTGACCACCTCCCCAACCCAGGTTTACACTTCCTTGGTCTGGTCCTCCCCATCCCATGTTGGCATTTCTCGGAACTGGCTGAACTGCTTCCCAACTCCTTCCTGTGCTTTCTGACCTACCATTCCAATGGTTGTCTGTACTGGCTATGTCCGACGGTGCAGTGGTTCGTATCTCTGTCCCTGCCTCAAATTGGTTAACCGAAACATCACTGTACTTTCTGTCTCCCTCCATTCCAGGGCTTGTGGACGAATGTACACCAGATCTGTTTTGTAGATCAAGAGCATTTCCCTGACATATCCCAACTGGTTTGTCCGTTTCCATGGAAACTTGTAAATCGCCAGTGGAGCTCAAATCAAGAGCATTTCCATGACGTACCCCAAGTGGTTCATCTGCCCATGGAACCCCGTAAATCACCAGTGGAGCTCAAAGCATCACCTTTTCCAGGGTCGGGTGCTGGGCTAAATCCATCTACAGAACTTATACTACCGTTTTTTGAACCCTCTGTAAACTCCCCTCGACAGTTCATGATTGAAGTTGAGTTAGCCAAGCTGGTGAGAGTCTCCATTGCTTCAACTTCAGCCAGAAGATCTGAAACTGATTCATCAGGTAAAGTACAAAATTCAGTTGGTTCTGTAAACTGATCCATCTCGCTTGGTTTAAAAGAAGATGCAGAGACAAGACTGGATTCCCATTCCTCTATAGAAGATGGTTTAGCTGGAGTAGGGGAATATCGACCCCAGTCACCACCTACTTCCGGAAGTGGTGCCCCACCACCCACTAAACTAGAAGAAGTGCTCCAGCTATGGCCAGCGTCCTGAACAGGAGCATTTGAAGGCACAAACTGTCTAATTTCAGCAGCCTGACTTTTTAAGTCTCCGTTGCTTGGTTTTGGAGTGGGACTGGACATATCTGAAAAATTATGTTCCTTCTGATCTTGTTCTGCAGTCTCAGGTGATTTAGCGAAAGGAACAAAAGTCGAGTTGGAATGACAGCCGTTTGAAGGACTGCTTACAGGTGGAGGTCTCCAGTTTTGCCCTGAAGATTGGCCTGAATGGCCATCACTATCAGATCGGCTCTCATTACACTGTCCATTCGCAATTTGACCTTGAGCAGTTTGTTGGGGATCCGCATTTCCATTCGTCTGATCAGAGTTAATTTCCGCTCCTCTACTTTCCCCTTCTTGATGCAACAGAGTTTCAGATGGCATCACGGGCAGAGAAGGTTGTGAACTACTCTCTTGGGGTTGGTTAGGTGAAGAATTATTATCCTTCAATGGAACCTGGCCTTGCAAAACGATTCCATTTTGTTCATCACTAGAATTGACAACATCTGCAAATGCAGTGTTCCTTACAAGTTCACTACTGCCACTATTATGCAAACTTTGGCCATCCTGCTTCGTGTTCCAGCTCTCTTCAACCTGTTTATCATCCACTGCAGCTGGGTTCATACTCTTGTTCCTTCCATCATCCTGACCATTGTTTCTATCATCCAAGGCAACTGTAAATCCCTGAGAAAGTAACGGGCTGTCATGCGGCAATAATGGTTCTTTATACTGTCCATTCAATGCATCAGCCAAAAGGACGGAATCACCTGGATTCTCATTTATCTTCCATATTCTATGATCAAGAGGGAAGTGCCCAGCTGTACTCCATTTACGCAACTGCATCAGTGCAAATGGTCCTTGAACTTTTCCAGTGGGGTCCTGGTAGTGCCATATTATGTCTGCCTCAAAATCATCAACACATAGGTTCACATTCGTCACTATAGACAAGGGCAATGATGAATTTTCTGATGCAACCTCAGAAAGTGTATTAGATTCAACTGCTGATTGATTATTCCCATCAAAAGACACCAAACCAGTGAGATTGACCTGGCTCCTTGTTGTATTGCGTCCATTAATTCCAAATGTTTCTCTACCCGAATTTTTCCGTCCCTTGCTTCTTGAATTGCTTGAAGTATCACCTTCCCTTGGTTGTGAGAAAGGTTCCCTTCCCCTTCTACCAGATCTTCTTGGTCTTACTTTAGCATCTGCATACACATCAGCGCAATTAAAACCAAATTAACATTTCCAAAAGAAACCTTGAAAACTAGAAACGGACAAGATGTTATTCCATGTCTATTAAATCAATGTAAGGGACCTTGTTTCTTATCGAATGCTCCAGCACTGTCTTCAGATTCGCAACTTGGATCCATAGTAGGATCAGGTCGTACTTCAGGAATTTCACTGAGTCTGCGCTGACGTTCCTCTGGTGAGTTCAGAAGCTGTAGTTTCTCCACGCATTGCTTAAGCGTACACTATGGTCAAGGAAAACTTGATGTTCTTAGACCAAAATACCTCAGCCACAAGACACTACGAAGAATAGAGTACACAGGTACCCATGAAACGGCCTCTCATACTAAGTAATGTGCTACAAGTAATCAACAAGTAAACAGAGAGTGAAACTGGAACAACCACAACAAAGTGCAAGAAATGTCTACATATAAACTAAAAGCATTGAACAATCAACAAAAAAGGATATTCTTTTCTGCGTCCTTTTTCACTTGCTCGATCGCGAAGGTGACTAATCCGTAATACCTCTGCATCCAGACACTAGATCATAGAGCAAGACCATTGGCAACCAAAAAGCAATATCAGACGTAGCACTTGATTTATTTAGAACAAACAATAAAAGCCAATGAATATACTTAAATGGGGCAGTATAATTATTAACTAAAAAGGGAAAAGAAAATTCATCTAAAATCCTTCCATAAAAACACATATGTATTCTCTTCTTGCCTCAGCATTAAAAGTAACGAAACTTACATCATTTACTCTAATTGCATGAAGTGCCATTGCTTTCTCCTGAATCTCACCCTACACCCAGCACAAATTTCCTTTGTAAAAAGAGTTGCAATTATCTTGCACATGACATACAACAGAACATAACATGCAAACCTACCACAGTCAACTGTTTGCTGAGCCCACACCTTATACTTTGACGTAATCGTTTGCATTCATCCTGTGAAAATAAGTAAAATATCCGAATTGAATAAGAGGGGATGAAGGGAATAAGTATCTGAACATGATCAACACACCTCAATAGACTGGCTTGTGACCAAAAAAAAAAACTTGTATGTAAACACTAGCATGCCTTAATCAATGTATTATTTGGTTATATAATTATTTTCCATGTTAAGAAAGGATTGAAAATAGTGTGCATATGGGTTTCAGGTCAGTCATTAATGGTGCGGGTAAACGTTCCCCCAGCATCCTTTCATGCTATAGTTCACATAACTGAAAAAGGGAGGGCAAAAATAAATAATTGGGCTCCAAGAACTTTCATTATTGATATATATACTAATTCACACGTATTTTTAACCTTCAGTTCCAAAAGAATTATCGAAAAAAGAAAATCCTACCATGCGTAGATAAGTTATATCAAGGACCCTGGTCCCTGGGAGGAGAGCAGGCAATAAGTTCACTGACCTGGGAGAACTCCTGATTAGAGATCTCGTCAATTGATATAACCTCTTTCTTGTTTAAGTTCAAGATCTCAAGTTTAACATGAGTTGTTCTTGTGCCAACTTTATAAGGTTCAGCAACCTTGCAGGTACCTGCAGACAATGATGTCATCAATACAAATATTGCATGACTTATTGTGAAAATATAATAAATAAGTTGGAGCATTGGTTGTGTTACTAATACCTACGACTTGGACAAGCCTATAAATATCTTGCTTTTGATCACCACTAGGAATTCTTATTCGCACAATTGAACCAACCACCTTCTCGTGCAATTTATCAATGTCTTCAAAAAAATTCTCCATCGAGTTACGACGCAAGTAAATCAGATTAATGTTGTGAACATCAATCGCTGCAAATGCATCTGGATTGGTCAGTGGTCCTCTCTCATCTACCCTTTTGCGTGTTTTACGCTTCTTATCATTACCCATCATGGTTTGATGATCATAGTTCCCATCAATCTCCATTTGGCTGGCAATAGTATTAACAATTCCAGCACTACTAATATTATCTGCCTTGGAACTTTCCTTTACGGGGAAGTGAAATTCAAGAAGCTTTAACATTTCAAAGTGACCCACACATTCTTTCCCAAACAGCCTTATGAGCCTCGAATCACAAATAATTTGGCATTTCTGGCAAGGATCACGAAGATTGTTTTTCTTTATGTACTCAAGCAAAAGCGCCTGGACCTCAAACTGAGATAGCACAGATATATCACCATTTCTCATATGAGCAACAAACTCCAAGAGCTCCTTCGATGCCCAAACTGTGTCTTCAGGGAGAGGCATCCCTTTTTCACCAAGTGATTTTTCAGCACTCAAGTCCTTGTCAGAAGTTCTAGGCTTTTTATTACTTCTTTTGGAGTGTGTAGCTTCCAAATCTGCACAACAGTTGACAGCACCTGAATTTGTTTTATTACCATCGTAAAGTTCAACTGAAGAATCCCTCTTACAAACCATAACAGCAGCTTCATTTGATGGATTTTTAGCTTTAATAAGCTCGTCCAAAGTTAACGATAGTTTCCCTTTCAAAAGAATCCAGTAAACCTTGAAGAGATACTCCCAGCTGCTTTTGTCATCAAAATCAACTTGAGCCTGCAGAAAATTTCAATGAGAAAGGAAAACGATAAAATTGCACTGCCAGATGGAAAGAAACAAAATAAATAAACCTCCAAAAGGGTAGAACGTGATGGAATGCCACTTTAATTACAGCAGCAAATAATGCACTAATGCGGGCACAAAGTACAATTAAAGAAATAAATAAAATAAAAACCTAAAACAATTCTCAATATGAAAGAGTTCTCTTCTGTTCTTAAATCAATCCAATCCCTCTCCAAAATTCAACAAAGCTGAGAATCTTCAATCCATAGGTAAAAATGTCTGTAAATAAATAAATACGTGTTCAAGCATACCCCTTCCTTGTTTTCTTGCATATTCTCAATTAGCATTATAGTTCTCATACATGTTCCGCAAAATCCTTTATTTGCTCGTACACATTGATAATCCGCGCCTTTAGTACATCCTTTGCACAGAGAATATGTACAAGTATAGCACCAATAATGGGCAGCCTTCTGACAACTGCTACATATATGCCAACCTGACATGCATAATATCCAGGAACACCGAAATGTCAACAAACCACACAACCATGATAACTCAACTTACCAAAGAGACAAAAAATGAACAGGTTAACATAGTGCAACATACCACAATTCCATTTGGCTTTCGATTTAAAGAAGGCCTCATCCCGCTTGATGCACGAAGGATGGTAAGCCTTAGGGCATCCCCTATCAAGTATCAATCCACAAACAAGACTTGATTAAGCAATGCAAATGAGCAACAACACATCCACTAAATTTCACAAAACGAAACACAAAATCGACTCGAACTGTCCATTGGATTGCCAATAAGGAGATGAAACAACCCAAATCAGCTAAATTAAGTAAAATCTCTCAGCTTTTATAACATGGACTAATCAAAATTGGACTGAATTGACTAAGCTGCGACCATGAAAAACCGGATTCTCACCTGCGATCACAAAGCACGAGGCTTCCGCCGTCAAAGCAAATGAAGCAAACGTCTTCTTCTTCGTCCTGCTGCTTCCTCACCGCCGTCGCTTTCGGATGCCCGCTCGGCGGCCGGCCCCGCCTCCGCTTCCCCAAGCTCTTTCCCGCCTCCTCTTTGACCACCACCATCTGCCCCGCCTCCCCGGCAACCTTCCCCCCGCCGATCGTTTCGCATTGAAAGGCCGCCAAGATTTCCTCCCCCGCCGGCATCGACCGGTCAAACACCTTCTCCGGTTGCGGCGGTTCTCCTCCTCCGCCTCCGTCTTCTTGTATACTGGGTCTGTAGAAGGCGGAGGCGAGCTGAGCTTGCTCAAGCTCCATACAAACAATAACTGAAAAGAATTGGATAGATTTGTACAGAGAGAGAGAGATTGAAAACCCTAGGAGTTGGAACTGCAATTATAAGAAGTGACTAAAGCGGCAGCAGCAGCAGCGCACATGGAAGATCGGGTGCCGATGGGACAAACATTTATCGGGTCGGGTTTAGGTCCGGTCCGGGTAAATGGGCTTAAAAGTGAGAAGGACCGGCGACACACGGCGCTGCCGATAGGCGGACACCTGGGAGGAGATTGGCTTGGAGAAAGAAAAAGAGAGAAAAAAATGGAGGAGAGAGAAAGAGAGAGGGGAGAGAGGGGGGGGAGGTCGTTGTTTGGGTAGGCAGGGAAGTCAGGGGGCTGTCACACAAAGGTTGGATGAGTGGAAGGGAAAGGGAGGGAGTGGGTTAAATTACCATTTTGCCACAGGAGGGGGGTCAAAACGCGGCTCTTGCGAGCCTATTGATATTCGAGCACCACGTGGTGAGTGGGCACCCAGAAAAGGTGATCGGCTGTGGGGGCCGCCCTTGAATTTTTGTTCAACTCTTTAGACATGACGATACCGGATACTCACTCCTCTTGCATTCATTCACTTCCTAACTTTGATTTTCTTGTTCATGTTATCTTTTTTTTTTGTATGAATAGTAAATTTCAGTAATTTTGTTCATAATTATTGCAGTTATAGGAATGTGATTGTGTAAATTCTAGTATATATATGGATATCTCTTATATTCCTATCAGGAGTTAATTATCTATTAAGAGTTGTAATCCTAAAGGGTAAGGTTTTTGTCTATCCTACTACTATAAATAAATGCACAATGAGATGATATAACACACACCTCACAATTAAATCTCTCTCTTCTCCCTCTTGCTACCGCCGTCCCCTCTCTCTCTAATCCCTTAGATAGCTCAGTTAAATAGGCCTACAACACGTTATCAGCACACTCTTGCCAAAAACTGAGAAATTAACAGACCATAGGAAAAGGCTATCTTCCACAAAATTCAAAAGCTCTTCTTTGTTTTCTGTCAATCATGTACGCTTAAAATAAAGGAAGATATTTGAAACGTCCACGAAGCATGAAAACATTCCCCATGATGCATGAACCCTTCTATGTTTATATTTTCCTTATGATGCATGAACCCTTCTATGTTTATATTTTCCTTACGATATATATATATATATATATATTGTATATGTTTCATATATTTGTCAAAATATATATATATATATATATATGTTTCATGCATTACGCAATTAAAATGCTATGTGGAATTGTAAGTTAAAGAATATAAATAAATTAGAAGCAACTCTAGGGTTTGTTCAAACCTTAACCATGTCGGAAAAAAAAAACAAACAAACAAACAAACAATTTTTGCATTGGGCACTGTGCGGCACCACCGCCGCACCCCCACCGTGGCATCATCCGACCATCACTGGCCTGAAACCCAGTCGAGTGGACCACATGGCAACAACCTTTGGGCTTGCTGCACTAACCTAGACATCCCAAAGCCTTAGGGCCTGATCTAGCTAATGGGCCTGAAGTCCCTTAACCCAAACTAAAAGCCTGCAGCCTTTTAGGCCGATGTCCTACGAGTCCCTAGCCTACTGGGTTATGCCATTTTGCCCCAGCTTGCTTCCCGCAGCCCTGTCTGCTAGGTTGAGCTTGCCCCGACCTGAACCCAACCTTGGTTAGGTTTCCTACACGAACTCAAGGCTAGCGTTCCGTTGGGCCTGACCCATGCCCTCCCATTCGGCCCAAAAGCCAGTAGCTGTTGTTGCTGGGCTCACCTGTCTCGGCCCGTGGCTTGTACCCACTTATGGGTTGCTATTGCAGCCACGCTCAAGCTCAAACCCCATTCTTTGGCTATGTTTTTTCAACCCAATGCTATTATTTTGGCATTATTTTGCTTCCATAATCGATCCCGTTTGGTCCCGATCTATTGAATTAATTAAAAGTGACCTGCAATCGATTAATCTGATAATGAATCCAAAATTATTGACTTGAAAATCACTTTTGGACATTAACGATTCAATAATTTATTTTTATACTTTGAACCGTTAACATACTTTCGTAGTAACGAAGCTCTCATACTTGAGTTCCTGAAGAAACTCAAATCCACTACACTTAAATCAGCATATTGCATTCTATGATTCTTGCAAGAACCTCCCCTCTATGAACTAATCGTTCATAAAAGCTAAATTGAACCTATAGTTTCATAGTTAGTGCCTTTGAAACCCCGAAGTTTTCATTCAAAACTTACCACATGAAACCTGTAGTTTTCATGCATAAATTAAACTAATACATATCTATAGAATCTAAATGTACTACGATATATGTCTATGGATTACCATATGACTAATCATGTCTTTTTTTGTACCTTCCGTTTTAGGGGTCATGTCGAACTTGAACAAACTCGATTTCACCACTCTGGAAATCTCCAAAAGAAACTACCTAAAGTGGGTTCAAGATGTGAAGCTTCATCTTACTGCAAAGGGTATTAGAGCCAGAATCAAGGCACCCACCGACAACAAACCTGTCGACGAAGCTCAGAAAGCTACTACAATGATCTTCATTCGAAGACACATCCATGATGCTCTGTAGACCGAGTACCTCGTTGAAGAGGACCCACGCACCATCTGGCTTGCTCTGGTCGACCGTTTCGATCATCAGAAAAACATATATTTGCCTGAAGCAAGACACGACTGGCAACATATTCACTTTCAAGACTTTAAGTCCGTGAACGAATACAACTCTGAAGTTTGTAGAATCTGATCATTGCTGAAATTCTGTAAAATGGAACTAACCGAATCAGATATCCTGGAGAATACTTATTCAACATTCTATGCCATCAATATTGTCCTGCAGCAATAATATAGGGCACAAAATTTACAAATTTTTGGATTTAATACCTATCATTTATAAGTGAAGAAGAGTAATAAAAGACCATATCATATAACTAAATGAAGGTAAGCATGTTTTAATAAATATAGAAATATCAAGACAATTCAAATACATTTTCTATGTGATTAAAGATGTTAATGTTAGAATACTAATCGAACTTAAAGAGGTCGAGGACTTGCTTGATTTGTTTTTTTGGTCAACTTCACTCCGGCACGTTACTGAATAATTTAACACATTTTGGTAGATGAGGATGATGATAATGTAGATACTTAGAACTTAGGACCACTTGCTATTTTTTCCACGAACAGAAAATTTTAATTTCGAAAGCAACCTCTCATAAAAATGGAAGCTATACACGTAAATAATTAGAAAGGGAGAAGTGTCAACGAGGATTGGCTCAGTTGGTAAGGTCCTTGCCTTGTGTGGTGCTTCATCAAAATTCGAGTCCTGCTGTCAGCACTCCTCATTGGCGAACAATTTGTAAATCCTACATATATCTATACCGGTGGCACCTGATTGTTAGATGTTAGGTGTATGTCCTTTCAGTTTGAGGTTGTGGGTATGTTCTGGCACTGGAGATGAGAGTAACCAATCTCCAATCTCCAATCTCCATCTCCCCCTAAACCTTATTTCAAATATTGTCAAACATTTCCTGGATGTAAACTATCAAATATTCACATTTACAATTGAGCAGTTTCAAAGAATCAAAGGAAGAATTAGAATAGGAAATTTAAAATCACGAGTTCAACAAGCAAAGCTATTTCTACGTGTGTAGAAGTGCAACAAATGTAGAAACACTGTTGTAGGTTTACAGCAAGAAACGTAGAAAACTAATGCAGAGATATTTGTGGAAGTGACGATATTTCATTCCTTCATTTGTTGTATATATATAGATACATGTCTATCAACTATACAAAGAGTTGTAACAGGATTATAAAATACCCATCATAATCTGATATTACAACGTAAGTGAGTAAATCAAATATGTAACAACCTAAGATAAGGTTGATGAGTACTACGCTAACAAGGTGGATAGTAATTGTTGCTTTAGCTTTGGCCATGAGAATTACATTGCTCCCCATTCTTTTGCGGCAAATTAAGTTGATAAGTGTTGTGCAGTTACTTCCCAAACGTAAGTTTTCAACTTTAACTTGATCACTTCATTGGACTGCTTTGTAGTTTTACTCTTGCAATTATATTTTGTAGATTGAATGCTAAAGTTTGGTTTAACTAGAAACAATATTCATCTCATTTGGATATTTAATAAAATATCTTTTAAATATTTGTGGTGCGGTTCGATTTTGGTGTGGTTTTCAAAAGTCAAAACCGATACCAAACCGCTTTCTTACACTATGGTTCGGTTTCAAACCGAAACCGTTTCAAAACTGCAAAATCAAACCGTTTTGTGCGGTTTGATTTGGTTTCGTTTTTCAGTTTTGGTTTTCGATTCCAAGTGCTTACCCCTAGGTTTAACACAAATTCTCTCAATATTGTTGTATTTAAAAAGTAAATCGAGTTAATACATAGTTAACTAACCTATAAGTCCAAAATAACCTGTGTGACGATTAACAACAGCTTAAAATACATTGGCGTCGGCTCTGTACTAACTTAGCTGTTCCACTTACCTCAATCTGCTCAAATCTTATCCTTTGTTCCAGGCCGACAGAAACTATGGGTTTGTAGCGGGCGACAACGGTGAATTTGGCTCTGGGATCTCCGTTGCAGCCTCTGTTTATTGTCCTTGATAAAACTGCGGGTCACGTGCCCTGCTACCAACGCCTCTATACCCGGTCTTCTTTGTGAATCCGTAGTCGGTTTAGTTTAGGTTTTTTTTTTATGTATTTAGTAGATTTATGTGTTGCTTCGACAATTTGTTTCTGTCACATCAATGATTTGCATGGCATTGATTTTTAGAAAACTAATGAAAGTAGCTTGAAAGCTTTGAGCTTTAATAATAAGGATAAAATAAAGGATAAAGTAAATAGTACCAGGATTGACTTTTTAGTGTAAAAATGTGGTTTTTCGTTAAAATGAACAATACCGTAGGCTTTTCGTTAAAACTCCCTTGTTTCTTTGCGATGGTTTTATGTGAGGCATTGATGATAGGTCTGTCACGTCTGTCGTCTTTGTGATAGATTTATCTTAAGATTTTTTATTTTTGTGATTTTGAGTGGTGGCCATATAAAAGTTTTAAAATTATTTACTTTCTGTGCGAATTATTTCTAAATCATGAAATTGATCACTTAAGACAATATTTTTGGAAATTTTAACGAAAAGCTCCCGGTACTGGTCACTTTAATGAAAAACCATATTTTTACACTAAAAAATCAATATTTTGAATATTGTGGTACAAATTGTAAATATTTTGTAATAATAAGTCAATTACTTCTATACTTGGCAGTCATTTTTAAATTTGGGTTTTGTTTAGATGTTTATAACTAGGTGGTTTTTGTCTAGGAAATAAGAGTTGTAAGAGTCTATATCTAAAAAACCCTTTATTTTATCTTTTATTTTGTCATTATCGGTAAAACTCAAAATTTTCAAACTCTTTTCATTAATTTTTCTTATATTTTTTTAACAACTCTCGTACTCGTACATAATTGTTCTTAGTGATGAAACACCCTTTCACTCTCTGTCACAAACAATGACATTTGATAGCACATGTTAGAATAAACAATTCATTTAGTTCATAAAAAGTCAAACAAATATAACTTTTTATGGTCAATGTCAAGCAACAAATATATTATGTGATTTTTTTGAAGAAAAAATAATAAAAATATTTGAAAATTTTAAGTTTTAAGAATAAAGATAAAATAAAGAATAAAATAAATAGTATCATTATTAACTTTTTAGGATAAAAATATAATTTTTAATTAAAATAAATAATACTGAAAATTTTTTGTTAAATTTTTTATAGTGTCCTAACTTGGTGGACCGTGGTGCTGATTTTTACCAACCTGATTTTGTACAACTTATTATTGTCAACTTTTCTTATAGGGTAATAATCAAATGATTACGTGATACAATTACACGTGTTACAATACTTTAAACAACAAACTTAGCAAGTTATCTAGAATATAATACTAATAACTAAATAATGTGTTTCGTACGAGTTCGATTTCATTTATTTTATGTACATTGACTGCTTGGGGTAAGAAATTGCGAGTCTCTCAATTTAGTGCCAATCCTTTGCAGAAACTTTTGAGTTTTGACTACCATTATTTTATGCGCATCTCTTGTGTAAATTGTTTGTTAGTTGGTTGTTTGGTCCAAGTAATTGCACATGATCCTATAATTTATATTGGTATCAAATTCAAACTATGGACAAAAAACCTAACAAATATATGAACCTCAAACTTAGAGCCATAATTGGATACCAAAGCCCGAATTGAAGACCCAAACACAACCTTAAGACCCTCATCATGGAACTTAAATGTGAATATAGGTAAATAGGTTTAAACCTTTTGCTTTCTTTTCTTCTTAAAGGGGACCAATTAGTGACTTTGCTATGGCAGTCCACTCTTTTTGTGAAAGTTTTTTTTTTTAATGATCAAAAGTTTTATAGTCTCGCAAAAAGTCATTATTCATGAATTTGATCTCTTAAAATTTGATCGTTCAAGTGGTGAGGGAATGAGGAGTCAAATATATTATTTACCTTATAATCACTTTGTAGCCATGAGTTTTTAAATGTGGGAGGTGATGAATGCTTGAATACTTAACTGATGACAAAAATTATTCTCCAACAATTTCATAAAAGAAAGTAAATTTGTATTGAAATTATATGTTTCAATAATTTCCACTACCTAAACTAGTATAACCATAGAGGTTATAAAAGGTAGTCTATAGGTTTTTTTCTAAAATAAAAAATAAAAAATCAACCGTTGAGTTGCTTCAGACAGTCGGACTAGTTTTCACGTGGCTTGTGTTTATTGAACAACCGCATACATATTCTGACCAATTTTGTTTTTTTGTTTGTTAGCGCAGTCCCATTATTGGCAGGGCTAGAATCGGGTTAATAGCTCGTTTGGATATGCTTTTAAAATAGTTAAAAGCGCTTTTAGATAAAATATTTTTGGGCTCCAAAAACACTTTAAATGCTTTCTGCAAGAAACACTAGTTATGTGATTCTTCTAGGAAGCACTTTAAATGCTTTTTCAGGATTTATTTGTATTTTTATTAAAGATTGATTCCAAATTTTTTTTTACCAAAATTGCAATTATTTTAAAAATATATTCAAACGAGCCATAAGTTTTTTCGACAACATCACTACTACTTAAACTAGTATCTCTACTCTATTAATTAATAAAACACTCATTGTCAACCAAAACCCTATGAAATTACCAATTTAACCCATCTAATTAAAACAAAACATAAATAAGAAATATGGGGCAGAAATGTAATTTCACACAACCAAATTTTGCTTTTTTTTTTTTTTTTCAAAGCCTCACCTACATATAATCATAACATATCTCTATTAAAAAATACAAAAAAAAAAAAACTTCCTAACCCCACATTCTCTATCACTCTCTTTCGCATAAATGTAATTTCACATAACCAAATTTACTGTCTTTTTTTTCTTTTTTCTTTTTCAAAGCCTCACCCACATGTAATCCTAACATATCTCTAATTAAAAAAAAAAAAAAACAAAAAACTTCCCACTCCCCCATTCTCTATCACTCTCTTCCTCTCTCCTTCTATTTCAAAAACAAAAATAAAAAATTTTCTCACACACTTTGTGTATGCCCATATGCTAGTAACAATTGAGGTTTAAAAAGTAGCCATTGAGTTTTTTTGTTTTTTGTTTTTTTTTAATTATTAATTATTATTTTATTTTTTAAGTTAGCGATTAAGTTGCTTTAGGCAGTCAGACAAGTTTTCCATGTTGCTTGTGTTTATTGGACTGCCACATACATATAATAACAAGTTTATTTTTCCCTGTCCAACCCCATCATTGGGCATGCCTGACCTAAGACTAAGGCCATCTCCAACCGACCCAGTCAAATGGTCATAGGGCTAAAAATAGATCGGAATGACACGAAAACTGTCTCCAACAGAAGGCTAGATCAAAGAGACGGTGGCTAGGTGAAAACCCCCAAATCAGGCTAGCTAGCTGGCCATTTCCAGCTGGGCCTTCCAGCCCAACCCTTTAGCATCATAATGTCAAGATTGACTTTGTGGCAAGTGCAAGAATACCACGCTTTCTTCGTTATTGTGGCAAGCGGCACTCAAAATATGTCTGAAAGTCTTATTTAATATGGTAGTTTAGTTTAATTAACCATATTAATTCAATTAAAATAATAAATTATTGAGGGGGTTATGTTTGGCCTATGGCCTTTTGGCCCCCTCAATTGGAGATGAATTTTTTTGTCAAAGAGCTATGTTTGGCCTATGACCCTTTAGCCCTCTCAGTTGGAGATGGTATAAAATATGGTCTGTTGTTCATTAAAATATAATTTCTTGCAAGGCTATAGGGTTAAACATGGACCCTTGTTCCTCCTTTGGTTGGAGATAGCCTAAACTAACCACTTAAAGCCATGTGATATTTTACCTGGCCATGGCAACAACGTGAAAAGGAGGAATTGAAGAAACCAATAGAGAGGCACCTGCGCAATAGGGATAATCACCCTAGTTCAAACATGACAAAATGGGATCTTGCTCGGCAAAGTCATTTGTTTGGTCTTGCGTCGCACTCACATTTTTATTTTAGAATCAAATCATATTTTAACTTAAAATGTCGATTCTCTAACTCTTCTTTCTCTTCTAATGTTAGAAATGTTCCAAGTTAAAAATTTTGTTATCTCCATCATAAATAGATAGAAACTTTAAAAAAAAAAATCAACAACTTGTATCTCAAGTAGTTAAGATCATTTAATTTGCACTCGAGATTCTAAATTTGATCTACATCTCCAAATTTCAATTGTCACCAAATAAAAAATCAATAGCTATCTTCCAATCATAATATTAACTTAGATGAAGCCCACACACTGTGTTTGTGAATATAAAAGATTTCAAAAGAAAAAAAAAATGTATGGAAGATAGAGAATTTGGGGGGGGGGGGGGTGTGAAATGTGAAGGAGGGTGAGAGAGGAAAAGGTGGGAGTGGAGAAAGGGGTTTTATTTTTATTTTAATAAATTAAAGACATGCTTATTAGTGACGGAAGAAAAAAATGTAAATTTTTTGTTGTGCGAAATTACTTTAATTTTTATGTTTTATTTTTGATATTTTACATTTAGTTATACATGAAATGGTATAATAAATATTTACTTCTTAGTTTTTGGTTGATAAAGAGATTGAAAGATTATTTCATTAATAAGAAGTATAGATAGATAACTCTAGTGTTTAAATATCGATATGCAAATTTATGAAAATATAAATGAATATGTAGATATTGGTTGCCTTCACGGAAATTTGCAATGTAGTAGGTATATCAACTCATTCAAATTTAGTCGAAATTCGAAAAAAAATTCTCATAAAAAATTCAAATGTTCGCTATCTGCAATGAGTTTTGAAAAAAATTATGTGGGGAATCGGTAAATATCGATATTTATTAAATTTTCTATATCTTGCTGATATAGGTTGAAGTTTGCATTTCACCCCACATTTTCATATTGATCCTTAACTTTCAAATATTTTGACAAAAATATCAACAATTTCGCAAATATTTTAACACTGGTTAGTTCCCACTTATTTTGACAAATGTAAAAGAAAAACTATATTATTCTAACAAAAACACAAAATAGTTGGGGAAAAAAAACCACAAAATATTAACGAGGAAAAAAGAAAAAAGAAAAAAAAAATAGACGAACCGAGCACGGGAGATACCGGGCCCAATAATGCTGAGCGGGGACGTTTCGTACGCAGCGAGGCAAAGCATTCACATCGAAGCGTTTTTCGCGTATTTAAGCATTCAACACCTGTGCGGTTCCTTTCGCGAAAGTAACGGAGTCCACCATCGTCGCCTAATCCCGTCATCTTCTCGAACCAGTAGTTATGTTGCAGAGACCTCGACGCCGCTGCGAAGGCACCGCCATGGGCGCCATCGTCCTCGATCTACGACCCGGCCTCGGAATCGGACCCTTCACAATCGGTAATCGCCAGTTAATTTCTCAATTTTTCCTTGATAATTGTGGAACTGATTCGAAATTGTTCGTTTCTTCGACCTAAGAGTAAGAATTATTTGTGAAATTGAAATTTGAATTGAATTATTTGCGAAATTGAAATTTGAATTGAATTATTTGCGAGCGATTCATCTCTGTAAAAATTTAAACTTTACCATATTTGTCAGCTGATTGATAACTGTGTAGGTTAAATCTTGGTTAAATTTGAGGAGTTGTTTTTTTTTTTTTTGGGATTTTAGAGTCAAGTTGATGGTGTAGAGATTGGATATGGATGATTCGATTTTGCATGTGTTCGTTTTTGAAATAAATTCGTTGGTGTTAGAACTGCAGCTTGGTGAATTTTCGGAGTTGAATCATTGATTGAATTGTTTGTTACAGGAATGCCGATATGCGAAGCATTTGCTCAGATAGAGCAGGAGCCTAACATTTACGACGTTGTCCATGTGAAGTATTATGATGAGGTTGGATCAGTTTACTAAGTTGTATATCATTATGGCCTGTGTAGTATAACGTAGACGCATATTTTGTAGGATTTCCCTTTTTTTTTTTTTTTTTTTTAATCTTGGACGTATGTACATGTTTCACGGAATGAAACAAATGGCTAAATGATTCGTAAAGTGCATGTACTTAAATAACCAGAAGTTGTAACGAGAAGTGATTACCGTTCTTCTCCCATGCAGGAGCCCCTTAAGTTGGATATCGTTATCAGCTTTCCAGATCATGGTTTTCATCTTCGCTTTGATCCTTGGTCACAGGTTTGTTTTTGCTACGCCTAATTTGTTCTCTTTGGTGCACGTGCCTTGTTTCTTTGCGTATCAAAAATTTGTTTTCACATAGGTTGCGATGTTTTGTTTGCTCTGACTCCGCATAAATATATGATCCCGAGGATTATGCATCTATTAAGTATTGGCCATGGAACTGTGGCTTGTGGTATTTACTCATCAATTAAAATTGTTACTATTTAAAGAAAATGCACAAATACTTGACCGGATTTTGTTATATTAATGGTTGTAGTAGCTAATAGCTTGTGTTGAAAGTTACCTTCATTGGTATTTGGTACAAAAGAAAAATGCCTGTGGGATGTAGAAGTGGAATGCCATGGGTGGTCCATGAAACACTGGCAGATAGCCATTATCTTCAGCTATTATTTTCTTTAGTGTGTTATACGGCTATGCTTTTGATTGTCGTATCTGGGCTATCCTATTTAAAATGACTGGTGAATTTGTACATGATTGGTATTCCTGTTGGGTTGTAATATCTATAACTTCCTCCTGTTATGATATGGCTGGTTGATTTGAAATTTTGGTGCAGAGGCTACGCCTTGTTGAAATATTTGATATAAAACGACTTCAAATGCGCTATGCCAATTCTTTGATTGGGTGAGTTACTTTACTTGAGACTTTCTATTATATACAATGGGGCATACTATTGAATTTTGTCTCTACTTTCAGGGGACCATCCACTCTAGCAACTTTTGTAGCTGTATATGCACTATTTGGGCCAACTTTCCCTGGAATTTATGACAAGGATAGAGGTGTCTACACTCTGTTTTACCCAGTAAGTAAATTTAACTTGATCTTTATATTTCTTTATTTTTATCTACTTATGAATCATCTTACAAATTGGAATCTGTTTAATGTATTTTCCAATCATGACTATGGTAGGGGCTTTCCTTTGCTTTTCCAATTCCGAGCCAGTATACAGATTGCTGCCATGATAGAGAAGGTATTTTACTGACAGTGTTTACTTAATAGTTTCTTGCTTCAAAGAGTTTGCAAGCACTAATTACTTGATCTTTATTTGCTTTTGATTATTAAAGCGGAATTACCATTAGAGTTTCCAGATGGAACCACACCAGTGACATGCCGCGTCTCCATATACGATAGTTCTACAGATAAAAAAGTTGGTGTGGGGTCCTTAATGGATAAGGCTTCCGCTCCTCCACTACCTGTTGGCAGCCTCTATATGGAAGAGGTGCATGTTAAGGTTGGACTTCTTTCTCCATCTTCACGGCAGCATTTCAATGGTTTGTTTATTTTCTATTAGAATGAGGGGCTTCATGGAGAATTTAAATCAGGATTTGAAGAAGGATCAAAGGCTTTTGCTTTGTTGCTTCCTTAGTGGTTTACTATTGGCCCCTTATGTTACTGAAGTAAATTCTGTCAGTGAAGTTGTTTGACATTGGCGACTGTAGTTCTTGGATGTGATTCAGTTCAGTTTTTATTTTACCCAGCTAGGGGAAGAATTATACTTTACTGTTGGTGGTCAGAATATTCCTTTTGGTGCATCACCTCAGGCAAGTGTTGTTCTCCTGCAATGAGTTCTAGTTAGTCTTTGTTTATGGCTGGGCATTTCTACCATTGCTCTGTTGTCTGTCCTGTTTAATACCTTCCTATTTTACAGGATGTTTGGACTGAATTGGGTCGTCCTTGTGGGATACATCAAAAGCAGGGTACTGCTGATGTCATGTCTAAGCAGTGTATGCTTTTCTGATTGCATTTTATCACGTTGATGATTGTTGATTCTGTTTGCTTTGTAGGTAGACCAAATGGTTATTCATTCTGGCTTGGACACGCGCCCACGGACAACTCTTTGTGGTGATTATTTCTACAATTACTTTACCCGTGGTTTGGACATTTTATTTGATGGGCAGGTATTGACTTATTTCTGGTTGTTAATATACAATCATGATGTTTTCCATGGTAATGTTTGTATTCGGAAGTTCACAGATCACTTTTCTTTTTGTTTGTCTCCAGACTCATAAAATCAAGAAGTTTGTTTTGCATACAAACTATCCTGGCCATGCAGATTTCAACTCGTACATAAAGTGCAATTTTGTCATATTTGCTTCTGATTGTAAGTCCATTTCTGATTCGAAGTTTCCAGTTGGATCTGCGACTCACAATTCACAAACTGATATGACATTAATTAATCCTTGCAGTAGGGGGTTCTTATCAGGATGTAAATAACTGCAAACATAGGATTACAGCAAGCACAAAGTGGGAGCAAGTGAAGGTAAGCTTTCTCTTGGCCGTTTCTCAAACTGTTACGTATGTACTTTTTTCCATTGTTCTCCGACAGTGGCGACTTTCTCATTTATAGCATCTTTCATCAATGTATTCCTTTCGGTGTATGTTCATCCTGATTGGGGTGATGATAGTAACAAAAGATTACTTTTTGTAGGAATTCCTCGGGGACTGTGGCCGAGCTGCTATCCAGACTCAAGGTTCTACAAGCAATCCGTTTGGATCTACTTTTGTATATGGTTATCAAAATGCTGCATTTGAGGTGAGTTGATGAATGCTTGAATCGTTGTTGCTTATTTTTTCTATCCCCTTTGCAATAATGGGGAAAAGCATGTTGTAATTGAAGTTGATATTTTATGCAGGCTTCCTTTGTTGTGCAACGTTGTAATTAAAGTTGATATTTTATCGCCCAAGTTGGGTTTATTCCACCTGTGTGTTATGGTTGTGCACGGGATTGCTAATAAATATTATGTTGATAATCAACAGGTGATGAAGAATGGTTACATTGCCACTGTGACTCTTTTCCAGTCGTCGTGATTACATTGCAAATAAGGTACTCTTTTAGCAATATCATGTTTTTGTACACATGGGCAAACAAATGCATTGTTATATCCCATCTTTGAGATGATCATCAACAATGCTTGTCAATTGCTTTCATCTGCCGGTTGAAATGTATTTCTTGGTTCACCGTTTTGGTTTTCTTTCGGCAGTTGGATGATGGCATTTCAACAGCTGGTGAAAGCGGCAAATACTGTTTGTAGACGTCAGTTGGCCCGGCTCAACAATTGTACAGTTGTATATGTTAAGTTTGTACAGAATAATCTGGTACTGTGAAAACATGTAAGTATTCTGTATCTTGTGTCTGTGACTGTTTAAATGGAAGTCTGTCGTGCACGTCCGAGATGCATTATGCGTTCCCAGATTGTATGATGGTGTTCACAGTTGGTCGACAGCTTCAGATTTCTCGTAACTGAATCCGCTTTCTAATACTTTGGGAATGACAGTATCAGTTTGTACATGATGAAAATATAATATCAAATATTTCATTTACAGGTGCCCGACGCCTTTGTAAACGAACTCTTTTTATGGTTTACAGCTATTTGCGGACGCTTAATGCTTCCAGAAAACCATTCTATTAAAATTGCCATTGTTTGAATCAACCGAACTTTCGAGACAGAATATACGAAGTTGCGATTTTTGAACTAGTCTGAGTATCTTCCTCATTCAAAACCATGCACGAGACTTTCACATCGTGTGGGGTTAAAAGGAGGAAAAACTCATCTTCCATTTTGTGCATCTTCCTTGCATGTGTATAAGCTAAATTCTTTGATGTCTTAAATGTCGGAAAATGGACTAAATCTAAATTTTTTTTTCTTAATCGTTTCGACCTTGGCTCCATTGGAGCAAGTCGGAAAGGAGGGCAAGACACTGAAGTTGTTACTTTTTACATTTATAAACTCCCTTAAAAAAATAAAAAAAAAGATAAAAAAAGGGTTAAAAAACGTTACATTCCGTTGCCGGGACTTGAACCCGGGTCTTTCGGGTGAGAGCCGAATATCCTGACCAACTAGACTACAACGGATTTGATGGTCTCTCGTTTAATAATTAATTTTGTACGCACACAACAAGCCAAAGCGACTTGCAGTCTAGCACCTTCCTTGGTTTTCGGCAGCGCGGAAGGATTAGGAGGGTTTTAGCCCGTTTAGCCTTCTCTTCTCCTCTCTCCGCGTCTCTCCTATCCGCTGCAGACGGCGACGACGCTGTTGCTGCAGCCACATTCCACCGCCAAAACCCAATCAACACCGCCATCTCCAGCCCCTTCATCTTTCACCATCCGCCATCAGGTATGCTAAATTTTTTCTCAATTTTTTTCACCCTTTTTTCTGCTCTAAGTTTCTTTGCCGGCTCAGAACTATCGTAGTCTGTGAGTCCAATTTCTTCATAAAAACAAAAGAAATGGATTAACTTTGCAGTTGTTAAAAACCCACAAGTCAACTTCTCTCGAATTTACTGCAAATTTCAGTTCCAAGTAAAACCATCACAAGTCAAGAAAATTGGGATTTGGGCAGCCAATTGGGATTCAATTGCATTTTCCTGGCATTGCCTTGTTGGGTTTGTGCTCCGGAATATCACCATAAATTGTCAGTTATAATGATTCAGTGGTTATCCAGAAATGAACCATTTTTCTTGATGCAGTATATTTGATTCTGTTTCTTTTTTTCGGCAGAGAGTACTCGCCATATGACTTCTGTTTCGGTACTGACTGGTAGTCCCTCCAGATGCTGCTTCCAAATTCCAGCATGCAGTTCTGGTTCACTACGTGGGCAGGTTTCAAATTTTCCTCACCGTTGGAAGCCTGCAGGAAAGAATGAGCTACTTCGTGTGGAAAGGTACAGCAATGGCAGTATGAGTTATTAGATAAAGTGTGGTTGGCAGCTTGGTTTGTTTATTTATTTTCTTTCTAAAATCAAGCAGAAGTTATTGGACTGGTTTTGCACAAGGGTTGAGCGCGCGGAAAACACATCTGATCAAGTTTTCCATGGATGCATCCTATGGTGATATGTCCAATGAACCAACTGGTAATTTTCATCTTATTTTTCTGGGGGCTGTTGTATTGTCATTTACTTTTGGATGTTGTTGAATATGTATGAGTGCTTGTGTATAACTTCCTTCAAGCTTGAACAGACTGGTCCTTATTACACAAAACTAAGAAAATTGGAATGTAGAACTTAACATGAAGGATTCTTAACAACCGTTCAGCTGGTGCATTTGATTACAGCCTTTGACGTGTCTAAACTTCGTAACCAAGTTGAACCAAAACAGTTAGGTGTATTTGTAGGAGTTTTAACACCAGTAGCTTGGTTAGGTTAGATGTATTTTGTTCAACCCTCTTAATTTGATAAATTACCATTGACCTGATTCACTTTTAGAGATTGTAACGAATCAGCATCTTTATTTCTCTGAACTGTTTTCTTCTTCACTGCCTTTGCAAGTAAAGCTATCTTTCCTAGGATTAATGTGAGGGACCCATACAAACGACTTGGAATAAGCAGGGATGCTTCGGAAGATGAGATTCAGGGTGCAAGGAACTTCCTTATCCGACAGTATGCAGGTCACAAACCAAGTGTGGATGCAATTGAATCAGCCCATGATAAAATAATCATGCAGCAGTTCTACGACAGGAAGAATCCAAAAATTGACTTTAAGAAAAAGTACAGGGAAGTTAATCAGTCCCGTGTTGTGCAGGCTGTGAGAAATAGGTTCCGAACTCCGTCCACAAAATTCATTATAAAAACGTCAATTGCATTTGTAGTGCTTGCAGCTCTCACTGTTCTATTTCCAACCGAAGAAGGTCCGACTCTTCAAGTAGCCCTTTCCTTGTTGGCTACCATTTACTTTGTATATGACAGGCTTAAGAGCAAGTTACGAGCTTTTCTCTACAGGTACGTAGATAATTTCTGTTTAATCACCGTATTTTGTATGGCTCTGTATGATTTTCCCCATATAGGGCAACTGAAACTGTTCTTTATTATACTTTATGGTCATCGGCGCTCTTGAAAAACCCTACCAAAGTTTTCCCTCCAAATTTTAAGTCTGTGTTTCGAGTCCCTGCGTCCAAACCTGAAAATGTGGCAATAGTGCAAAAGGTTTGATTGAAGTGTTTGCTTTGGTGCAGTGCTGGATCATTTGCTTTGTCGTGGCTCTTGGGAACCTTCTTGATGGTGTCTGTGGTTCCACCTCTACTGAAAGGACCAAGGAGTTTCGAGGTGACAACGTCATTGATAACCTATGTGCTACTCTGGGTCTCGTCGACATACCTGAAGTAATTTCTGTTCTTGCTACGCACCTCAATTTTGTTGGAGTGGAAACCACCGATTTTCTCCGAGATTTAGCTCATGCACAAACGTTTCCTTCATCGAGACGGTGCTGATAAATCTGGCAAATTGTAGGACAAGAGAGGTATTTTATGTCATTCGGAGAAAGGGTGTAAAAGTAGATGAAGAAGCCAATCGGTTTAAGAAATTGACCTTTTGTTTCTTTGTTTTTGTTAATTATTATTAATCAGTCAATTATTTTCGTTTCGATATAAATGGAGCGCAAAGTATATATCAAGGGTCAACTGGTCAAGGCAGAGAATTTGAATTTGGTTGAGAACTGCGTCCTTAAAGGCATAAAAAGGCAGATAATTGGAATTTTGAAGAGACCTAGTGACGCATCCAAACTTTTCTAGGTTGTGATCGCTCAGATAAAAGAAGTCATCAACGCATTCGACACCAGCACCGCATTGATTTACTCACCAACCGAGTTCGGTCAACGAGTTGGCACGCTTCGCATTCAACCTATTAGCTATTAGGCCTGTGTGACATGTATGTGTAGTAGTTTTTAGAGTCTAACACAGAGAGTTGACCAGTGTTTACTGTCAAAGAGGCACCAGCGCAGCATCCAACCTCTTCTCTGCTGACGCCTCCTTAGCAGCCTCCGTGATGCTTGTCCTCTCCATGGCCAACGAACTCGTCCCTCACCAGCTCCACTCTGACTCTCCTCCCACCTCACTCTCGACGTTGACAAGCACTCTGGCATGTCCCCAAACCACGTCTATGACGCCGCTGAGCTCTACCACCGGACCAAGATCAGCCCTTACTTGATGGTCCTCCAGGCACTTGAAAATTGAGCTTGATCGAGGCCATGACAAATTAAGTCAAGTTCGATGTGTGTGACTTGGAGCTCACCAGTGTTTACGGCAACTTTGGTGATGGAGGATATCGATTGCAGTCTGGAAATGCAGAAGCGGCAATTCGAGGAGGAGCAAATGACGTATCAACAGCCCTAACGACAAGTTCAGTACTCGTTTGCATCTTTTATGAGTCGATTGCAGTTGACACTCTCAGGGCTACCGAACTTCACCACGAACCACCAAGGACCATCTTGACCAGGCATTGTTGCGTCCGGGTCGAATGAACGTGCACATTCACATGTCGCATTGCACTCCGACTGGGTTCAACATCTTAGCCGCTAACAACCTTGGTGTTCATGACAGTAACGACAACTACCTCTGGAGAAATTGAAGGGTTGATAGAGAACAGAAGTCAGCCCTCACCAGGGTTGCTCAGGAGCTCATACGTTGACGTTGCTCTTCATGGCCTCGTCAATTTCCTCAAAAGTATGAAGGTCGAGAACGATAGCACGGAGGAGGATGGACCAAAACAATGAAAACAACACTGTTAGATTCGTTGGACCAAGAGGAGGAGGAAGAAGAGGCCAAGATGGGCAAAAATGTAAAACTACGAATCATTGAATATGTAAAAATAAAATGTCGCATATTTTCCATTCAACATGAAATAAGCATCCTAAGATCAATACAACGGATTACCAAAGCGGTTTTGAATGAACCCAAATGTGGATTACAAAAGCATCGATATAAAAAAAAAAAAACGTACGTGCTTGTAATGTTTCAATGGATTGTCTTGTTATGTACACGAGGAAGAAGAGAACAACTGTACACCTAGAACATGATCTGTGTACATACGGGGATATCCGTCGTAGATTAATAATCAAACATCTGTTGAGAAGGTACAACGTGAGATTAAGATTAGTATACACATAGTTCCAACGTCAGATAAATATATTACATGTAATTCCTACCAGTTTCTTGGCATTCCGACAGCCACAAGTCAATGTGTTCAACAATTTGTTGCCTTACTTTGTTGACTGCATCAGGGTTGCTGCAGTTCTGGGAATTGCCTGAAATACAAGTCGTAAATTCTATAGCAAGCACAAAAAACTGGTCAACAAGCACCGCCGTCCATGAAAATATTGTTCGGATTCCAACTAATTTGAGGGACACACTTAAAGCCCTTTACAAACTTGGAAAACTTCTGATGGCCACCGAAATTAGGAAGCTTTTCATCAGAAGCTAATATGTGTCACTAAGGTTGCAGAGTTACACTAACAATACATACCTTCAAGGGTTAAAGGAGACTGAGGGCATCCTCTCAAATCAGTTCCATGGCCACAGTTATGGCAAGATATGACGTATGAAGGCACTGATAGTTATACAAAAACGAGAATTTAGAAAGATCTAACAACATAGTTTGAATATTTTTCACATCAATGCATAGGATATCATTTATCAAACTTCTCATCGAAGCAATGTGATACTCACTATCTGGAGATGAAGTTTGTTTGGATGCATGACGCCAGGGATCCTGTGAGCCATTTGTAAAAACTATTTTTGAACCTGCAGATTCATTTTTCGTAAGGTCATGTAAATCACTGATTGATACACTGATGTGGTTTAATGTAGAAAAAACATGAAAATGAACAAACGATGCCATATCTGCGCTAGTAAAACAGATGCTCTTAGTAAGTACCAGTCTCTGGCGATAGGTGGGCTAAGGTTAAGAGCCAATATGAAATGGTAAATAGAAAATATGCTACTTAAATTGATATATAATAACCGGGGAAGATAAAACATATAAATAGGGAAAGAGCGATCAATGTTTTTACCTGCAATTTTTGTGCCTCCATAGTATAAGTTTGTTGCAACAACGTCAGGATAGATGCCGTCTCCAAAAACATTTTTGCAAAGGTCTTCATGGTATCTGCGACAATACTGTGAATCAGAGATGCATACAAGAGCTATAAAGTTGAACTACACAGGAAAAGGGTAAGTAGAAATAATAAACAAAATAGTATCCATAAAACAGACATTTCCAGAAAAATACCTTGTGTCAACTTTTGAAGACCTGATGCTATCATTTGCAGGCGCCACCTGAAAATATGCAACTTCAGTACAAACTTGGAACCACCACAACCGATCAGAACTGCCCTCACTAACAGCAGTGTTCTTCAAGTGTTTCTTGTTATATGTATCAACGTCAACGCCAAAAGTACCAAGGTAAAAATCTTTAACGTATTTGGCATACGCTTCCTGCAAGAAGATTACTATATTCGATTAGAAACATTAGACAACTACAGAAAATTAACAAAGGTAACTTCATGAAGCTTAAAAAGCCCATGGACCAGAATTAGTGGCACTTCTTACAAGTTAAAACACAGAGATATATGTGCATAACGGGTAATTCATTTTGACACTGGAAGGTTGACTACAATTACTGTAAACATGTTGACGAAAAAAAAAAATCTAGTACTGAGGATAATTATAGAACACAACTGTGGACCAAGCTTGCTTCAATTAAAGAACCAAATGGAATGAAAAGAAGAGAAACATACCACCAAATCCTCTCCATTCGTCTTTGCTTGAACAAGAGGTGAGCATAATTTATCGGGATTTCCATACTGAAACTGCAAAGTGTCAAGAAAATAAACATCAATAATTTGATAAACTGAAAGCAGAGTGACAAAACTAAGAAAAAAGTAACTTTTACCGCTATAACAGCAGCATCCGCCAGAAAATACATGAAGTCACCATCAATATCAAGCTGCACACAGACTTGGTCAATATGCAAGTGACAAGTGAAAAAAAAAAAAAAATCCTACCGGTGGGAACTGGACTCATGATTTACAAATGGTGGGTGCAAAGTGTGAAATTCCAACCTGGCTTGCACCAAACAACGCCCTTATTGCTTTTCCATTAGTTGTAAGACTTTGTTCAACGATGCGAGTAGTTTCTTGAAGTGCAGCTTTACATTGTGGACCTGCAGACTCACCAATCTGCATTTTGGAGGGGATTGTAGTTAAGCGAAAAAAGATTGAAAGTAGAGACAGAAACTACAATTTCATTCTCGTCCTAAGGGCAAAGAGAAAAAGGCCAAATTAACAGAGTGATAAGACACCTGCTGGTCAAATTCAGTGAAATCATAAATCGCTTCCACAACTGCAGAACTTGCAAGACTTCCACATGTCAAATGCGGAAACTTAACACGAAACCACGCACTAAGAGCTCCCGAGTAAGAAACACCAAACACGAACCACGGATTGTCACCCTTGGTTCTATTCAGCTTCACATTTAACCAATTCTAAACAATCACAACAACAAAGCCAGTAAATTCCAAGCTCAATTGGGTAAACTTTTTAATTCAAGGCAGCAAATTCAGCAATTTCTTGCCTGATAAAATTCACGAAATGCCGCCAAATCGAAAAGCGCTTGCTTGGATGACAAATACTTCAAATTCTGTGTCGTATGAGATTTGAAAGGAGAGCTCTTTCCATAGTATCGATGCTCGGGAGAAACGATAGCTGCCCCAAACTTCTTAGCCAACACCTGCACATAGACAATTCAATAAAATCTCCAAAATTTTCGATTTTTCTTCCAAATTTACAACTTTTACAACAAAAATTTCAAGAAAAACAAGGACTTGCACTCAGATAGTCGTTGGAGATGCCGCCGCACGAGGATTCTCCGCAAATTTTGAGGAAAATGGGTCCGTCGGAAGGTCTAAAGTAGTCGAGAAATTCGTAGTATCGCTGCGGGAATTTGCGGCGGTCGTACGGCGAGAAGTGGTCGATTGTCTGATCGAACCAAAGCTCCTCCTTCGTCAAGTACTTGCCGCCGCCGCTTCCCGACGAGCTCTCCAGCTGAAGAAGTATTCGGGGATTCACAAAGCCATAAGAGAGCGGCGCCCAGAGCATCATCGTGAAGAAGAAGGAGAATGAGAACGAAAACGACGTCTTCATCGGAAGTCGCGTCATCGGAATCGGGTGGTTGATACGCGGCCGGTGGTCGGTCTGTCAAAGTCTCAACAGAAAAAACAAGTGCAGCAATCCGTTACTGTCCTTGATTTTAATTAGATTTCGTTTTGGTTTATTTAGACCGGGGCCGGTTTGTACAGTTACGGAGGGATTAGGGACCAGACCAAAATTTGGTGGGCCTTCTTGTGGGCTGCTGACTCTGATTCTGTTGTCTCGTGTGGATACTAAGAACAAAAATTGGAATCAATCACTTTTTTGGAAGTGCTTGTACAAGAGTCACTTTTTGTTGTGTATCATTTGTTTGGAATATCTTTTTTTATTTTTTTAAGGACGGTAGTGGATTAGGCGAGTCAAACTCCGTATAAGATTTCGTCACTGGACCATAATAATAGCTTTATTTTCTAAATCCACGCAAGACAGTAAAAAAGAACCAAGATCTCGGAATCAACCATCTACTACAAAGTAGGCTACTTCTTTCCTACTTAGAATGAATAGTCAGAGCTCACTTCCTAATAGATCAACCATCCCCGTCCTCTATCTCCGAATTTTATTAAATACTAAAATGTGAAAATAGAAAAATACAATCGAAAGACGAAACCTAAACCCACGAAAAAAAAACATCAACGAAAACGAAAGACAAGACGTAATCAGTGTCACGAACATATTACCTTGAAAATCCAAATACTTTAGGTGGGCACGTTACCATCCTTGTTAATCGGACTTTTTCTTTCTAATTTTTTTTTTTTTTTTGGAAAACGATTATGCAATGTTACTTTATACTCAAAAATCGTCTATTCTCTAAGTAACCCTTAAAGATTAATTTTGCACAAAATTAACCAAATCAGAAATCAATAACAATTCGACTAGCGTTGCCATAAGTTTAGTGTTTAATCGAAAAACATAATTCATTTATTTATTGGATAACCATTAGATGACTTAAAAAAAATATAATTTAGTTATTTTTTTCAGAGCCAATCTTTAAAAGAAGACCTAAAAATCAAGTTTTGATCAAATTGTCAAACATTGCAGGGTTGAGATACATGCTATAATCAAAACAGACCCAGGATCAAGCAGATGGTACTAAACACACTCTAACCTCTTTGTCTGAAGCTTGTCATCCGATGAGGCTTCACGTTCAAAGCAATCAATTTAGTATCCACTTTTACACGTCCATCGGCATCGGCATCCGGCACAAGAATAGGCGGCTGCTGTTGTTGTAGAACTAGTTCCCCGCATCAGATAAATACGCATTACATGTAACTCCTACCAGTGTCTTGGCATTCAGAAAGCCACACGCCAATAAGTTCCACAATTTGTTGCCTTACTTTGTTGACTGCATCAGGGTTGCTGCAGTTCTGGGAATTGCCTGAAACACAATCATAAACCCTAGTAAATATAACATCGTCAACATGGAAACTATCAAGCACAGCCAGCCATCCATGAAAATCATGTTCGGATTCAAATTATCCAACTTTGACGCACTTTAACGCCATTCACAAACAATAAGCAGACAAACACTTCCACTATCAAACTAGAATTCCAGACAAATAAAAAACACGCGCACACACACACACAAACAAAACATACCTTTAGGGGGAAAGGGAAACTGAGGACATCCTCTCAAATCAGTTCCATGGCCACAATTATGGCAAGAGATGACATAGGAAGGCACTGAAAGTTTATTCACAACAAAAATGATTTAAACGACAATTTAGGAAGATCTAAAAATATGGAAATCTAGTGAAAGTGTGTTTTATCCCTTATAAAACGATTTTGCATAATAGTTCAATGTAAGTCGTAAGGGCACGGTAGACATGCAATATCATTAGAATACAAGTTTTAAACTGCATATGTAACTATCGACCGAAAGTTTTTGTGGTACAAACGACTGTCTACAATTTGGTGTGGAATATAAAACCTGATACAAACAATATAGTTCGAATATTTTCACATCAATGCATAGGACATCAATAGTGAGACTTCTTATGTGAGAAATCTGATACTCACTATCTGGAGATGAAGTCTGTTTGGATGCATGACGCCAGGGATCCTGTGAACCATTTGTAAAAACTATTTTTGAACCTGCAGATTCGTTTTCATAGGATCATGTGAATGAATGCTAATCAAGAAATGAATAAATGATGCTTTTGACCAAAAAAATTAAATAAATGATGCCATATCTGGTAGTAAGAAATGCTTTCAGCTATTAGGGGTTTTCTGGTAGACAGCAAGGCCGGAGGAGAAGGGGTAAGGTTGAGGGCCAAGATGAAAGCGTAGATAGAACTTATGCTATTGAAATATTAATATGCAATTATGAGGAAAACATATAGATAGGCAAAGAGAGATCAATGTCCTTGACCTGCAATTTTTTTGCCTCCATAGTATAGATTTGTTGCAACAACATCAGGATAGATGCCCTTTCCGAAAACATTCTTGCAAAGGTCCAAATGGTATCTGCAACAATTTAAACTATGAATCAGAGATGCATACAGAAGCTACCAAACATTCTATGGTCTGTAGAAAAAGATAACAGAAAAATCGTACTTAGATTAAAAATATTTTCAGAAACATGCCTTGTGTCAATTTTGGGAGACCGGATGCTATCAGTTGCAGGTGCCACCTGAAAATATGCAACTTCAGTACAAACTTGGAACCACCACAATCGATCAGAACTGCCCTCACTAACAGCAGTATTCTTCAAGTGCTTCTGATTATATGTTTCGACATCAACGCCAAAACTTCCCAGATAATGATCTTTAACGTATTTAGCATATGTTTCCTGCAAGAGGATTAAGTTTTTGCCATTAGAAACATAAAGAAACTTGATATAGGCATCTTCATAAAGTTAAGTCCAAGAACCACGATTATTGGCACGGCGGCTTTCAAGTTACGAAATAGTTTTTTTTATCCATCATTCTTACTTTCACTGAAGTTTAAAATGAAAATATTATACAGCATACACTATGAATACCAGAGGAAATCGCATGAAATTTTCATACTACTGCTAAGTCGAAGTTTGAGATTTGACACAAAGGGGTTATTTATTTGGACAATGCAGGGTAAACATGTTGCCCGTAAGACAAGCTCAGTAACCGAGGGCTAATTATAGAACATAACTCTGTGATTACATAGAGAGCACAGTGGACCAAGATTATTTCAATTAAAGAACCAAATGGAAAGGTATGAAGAGGAACATACCACCAAATCCTCTTCATTTGTCTTTGCTTGAACAAGAGGGGAGCATAACTTATCTGGAATTCCTGATTGAAACTGCAAATTATTAAACGAATAATCACCACTAGTTTGACAAAGTGTAAACTGAGTGACAAAACTAAGAAAGAAGTAACATTTACCGCTGTACCAGCAGCATCCGCCAGAAAATACATAAAATCACCATCAATATCAAGCTGCACAAAGACTAATGCAAGGCGAGAAGTCAAGAAGAAACTCCTATGGGCGAGAATCTTGATTGTGCTTTAAAGTACATCATGTTTGCAAATGGTGACTAGAAAGGATGAAAAATCCAACCTGCGTTGCACCAAACAATGCCTTCACTGCTTTCCGGTTAGTAGAAAGCCTTTGTTCAACAAGACTTTTAGTTTCTTGCAATGCAGCTTTACATTGTGGACCTGCAGACTCACCAACCTGCATTCGGAGAGTGTTGTAGTTAAGTGAAAAGAGGTCTAAAGAAGAGACAAAAAAACTACAATCTCATTCTTTCATCTTAAAGGCGAAAATGCCAAATTAACACAGTGATCACCTGCTGGTCAAATTCAGTGAATTCATAAACAGCTTCAACAACTGCCGAACTTGCAACACTTCCACATGTCAAATGTGGGAATTTAACCCGAAACCATGCACTAAGAGCTCCCGCATACGAAACACCAAACACAAACCATGGATTTTCACCCTTGGTCTTGTTCAGCTTCACATTTAACGAATTCTACAAATAATCACACAAAATAAAATATAAAAGAAAACTGTAAATCACAGGCTTATTTGGGTAAAATATCTCCAACAAATTCATAAATTTCACAAATGGCGCTTGCCTGGTAAAACTCACGAAAAACTGCCAAATCGAAAAGAGCTTGCTTGGATGACAAGTACCTCAAATTCTCCGATGTATGTGATTTGAAGGGAGAACTTTTTCCATAGTATCGATGCTCAGGCGAAACCACAGCTGCCCCAAACTTCTTAGCCAACACCTGCACAATGTGGCTTCAATTAAATTCCCAAAATTTCAATCTTTCTTCCAAATTCACAAATTTTCCACAAAAATTTGAAAAATTAGAACTTACACTAAGGTAATCGTTAGCAATGCCGCTGCACGCGGCTTCTCCGCAAATTCTGAGAAAAATGGGTCCGTCAGGCGTTATGAAGTAGTTGAGAAATTCGTAGTAGCGCTGCGGGAATTTGCTGCGGTCGTAGGGCGAGAAGTGGTCGAGAGTCTGATCAAACCAGAACTCCTCCGTCGTCAAGTAATTGCCAGTGCCTCTGGCTCCGGAAGAGCTCCCCAGCTGAAGAAAAGTTCGGGGATTCATAAAGGCAGAAGCGAGCGTCCAAAGCATCGTCGTTAGCAAGAGCGAGAACGAAGACGACGTCGGCATTGAAATTCGGGATGGTTGATTGGCGGAGGTGCACTGGTGGCTGGTCTGTGAAAGTTTGCAGCAACTAGCAGTCATGCATGCTGTGCAGGTGTTCACATACAATATTGGCACGTCAGCAGTAAATAGCGGACTATTTTTTTTTTTTGAAATTTTGGTCATCACAAAATCAACCCCTATAAATGGGAAGTGGTTCTGTGACGTAGAAAGCTTTTCAACTCAACGCTCTACGCAAAAATCTTCGTTCTGCGCAAGACTTTCTTGCACTCTGACAAAAATACTAATATTCCTCACCGTTTGTCAACACATCTTCAGTTTAGATTAACAATACTGTGTTGGGAACCAAAAACATATTCAATTTGGATTAAAGTCACTGGAACCGTAAAATCAAACAACCTAAGAACATTTTAAGTTTAGATTAACACTGCTTCGAGTTCCGTTGGTGTCGACAATGAGTCTTTGATTCTATCGCTGAACGAGGTCACTTCATTAGCTTTTCAACAAAATGAGGCGTCCTATGATTTATTACTCCCAGGTGCACTTCAGAGTTTGACATTTAGACAACCGAATGACATTCACTATAAAGACATTCATCTCCTTTGAGTATCTTTGCCTGTACAGCTTGATACGAATTCTGTGCACCTATATTTTCACAAATATAGTCGAAGCTGATAAACCTAATGTGGAAGACTATGAACTTAGTAGTGTATTGAATAACCTTGTCTTGAGGTTCGAAAACCCTAGGCTGAGAGTGTTCCTTCCTTCATCGTAGTTGCTCAGTGCAGAAGTCAACGATAGGTTCGACACCACACCACCACACCTATTATACCCGTCCGACCGAGATTGGTCGCGAGCTAACATGCCCCATCAACAAAAGGATGTAATTAGCTTAGTAATGACTCGATTAGCATGCCATGTATGCTCTGTAATTTCTAGGGTCAACCATACCAAACAAGTGTACTTCTGAATAAAAATAACGTTGAATAATGTTATTCAAACCGTTTTTTCTCAGAATTGAACAAGTACTTTTAAAACTCTTAAATTTCAGATCGATTACAAGAAGGTCCTCGATTTTTCCATATACAAGTGAAGCACTCGCAAAAATATGTTTTCATTTGAAGCAAAGTTATGGATACTTTTTTACTATTATATCCTCTGCACAACTAAACTACATAATGATCAAATGCCCATTTTACAGTTTTACGCGAAGCAGCAATACAAGAAAGGTATACAGGAAGCACCCTTTTTGCGACTAGCTAGTGACGTAATCTGCGCCAGCCGATGCTTCCAGATACGCCGATACTAGTCCTGATTAATACGAAAAGCCAACAGATTATGCACTGATCTAGTTCAAGTGATTCAAGTATCAATAGAGAGAATGTGTTCTGTTGAGCTATGCGCAAGGTTGTAGAACAATGATAACTTGAAGTGTGAGTAACCAAAATCGGATAATCGACACAAAAACACAGAAGTGTCATTTCTCTAATGACCACGTATTGCTCTCATGATATCCGAAAGACGGACTTGAGTACAAGCTGTGTCTATTATACATTTGTGAAATGCAAATAGATATATAGAAAATGCAAACTCTTTTCTTCTCAGACACAAAGATGGCAATTCTCAACTTAGCAGTTCCTATTTTAACTGCCTTTCCCGCTTCAATTTCTTAGCTTACGAAGTAAACCGACTTGTGTTCTTAGTTTAGCTGCACATACATTACAAACTTTTGCAGTTTATTAACCACTTTGCTCACGTCCCTAATAAGCAACTATGACGCAGGCTTGTGAAAATGTTCCCCCCCCACAAGTGAATTACAGTTACAGATGGGAACCATTCCATACGAAAGTGACAAAGTTCCATTTGCAGGGTTGAGACACATGCTAAAACAAAAACAGAGCTAGGATCAAACCGACAGTACTAAATAATGAAAGCACTCTAACCTCCTTGTTTGAAGCTTGTCCATGCATCCGATGAGGCTTCATGTTCAAATCAATCAATTTTTTATCCATCTTTACATGCGCATCAGCATTGGCATCTGAAGCACGAATAGGAGACACCCGACGATTTTGCAGGTTCTCTCCAATTGTCATTCTAGGTGGATGGGGTTGTTGTATTCTTCTGGTCTCGCCTGGATCAGTGGGTTGGGAAGCCGGGTCCTCAATATTACCAGGTTTATCTCCTGGAAACTACGAAACAACCAAACAGTGTAAAACATTTAAGTCATCCGCAACACCAAGGTAAAAATAAAATAATCCAATTCTTATTAAGTAGGATCAACAAACCCACCTCAACTCTTTGTCTCAGTACAAGATATCTTCCATGCATTCTTTTGCCTCCAACATGAACAATCAAATCACATTGCAAACAGAGGGAACTTCCATCGATCTCGCAATAAAAGAAGCTACAAGTAGTTTCCAAGAAGATAGAACAAGCGTCGTTATTTTTGTTTTCTTTCTTTCAAACAACATTAAGACATATATCAGCAGGGAATCGATAGAATCGAAAAATAGGTCTGCATACCAGGTGCATTTTCACAAATGTCGCAGCGGGGAACTTCACTGGGAGTTGCAAGACCGACCCGAACATGCCGGCTAGCAAGCTTATTGCACATATGAACCTGCCACCGGATCAACAGTTTAAAGCATCTCGAATACAAGCCGTACAGAGAATATAGAAACATGAAAACAAATGTAAATTCCAAACTATTCTGAATCTACGCGAAAAAGGCGGTCCAACTGACTTAACCCACATTTGCTTACCTCACATTAGTTAAACATGGAAGCAACTAACAATTCAACAAACTAATGTGAAACTGCAAATTGGGCACTGTAAAAAAAAAAAATAAATAATAAAACACTTTGGAAAATTTAACAGCAAAATGGTAAAAAAGGTCATACCTTCTCATCACAGGCGCGGCAAAGAGCAGCCTCGTCGGCAGCGCAAAACACGATTGCGGCAGCGCTTTCACAGGAGTCACAAAGTGTTCGCATAATTACTATTCCCTTTCACCGCTCTCATATTTCTTCTATCCAACCACAGCTCAAATGCTCACAATCCAATCCAATCCAGTCCAATCCAGAAGACATAAAAGTATGAAACTTTCAGCGAACCCAATTCAGCAAGATCGATTTGGTTGAGTTTGGAGAAGTCAATAATGAAGGGGAGAACTAAACAAGAAAAGGATTGGAACAGAGATAAAAGTGGGTTGTGTTTGGTTTTTGTTGGGGAGATTCCAGAAGCCAAAAGAATAATAACATAAATTATAAACGACAAACCATTTATTACTACCGTTAGTAATATTTTTCTTCACTTATAAGTGAGCGTACTTAGTTTTGATTATCATCAAAGACGAATTTGAATCACATTATTGCTAGTCTACTTCTCACCCCTTTAGTGAAAACAATATCATTTGTTAAAAAAAAACAAAATATATATATATATATATATAACAAACAAATATACAATTATACACAGCCCCTTTATCCAAAGGGATCCCCACTTTTGGATAGAAACGAGGGCTAGTTGTAGGGCCCACTCATGTTGGATTTCAATGATACAAACTGTTAATTTTGTAAGTTTCGATTCGTAGATCATCTTTACACAAATTTAATTTAATTCGAAATTATTTGCCTATTTAATTATCACGTTGAAATTTCATTGTTTCTTAGAGAATAAAGTGTTCGTCAATTTCTTTGAACTCAATTAAATGCTTCAAATATTTCCGATCTAGCTCATATTTTGCAAGAATGATCTATGAGGTGCAACTTGAAAAGAAACGGTTTGAATCATTAAAATTCGATGTGGTGTAAACCCAACAACTAATCAACTTTTTTATAAAAAAATAGAAATTCCTCCCTAAAGACTTCTTAATTATACAATATATACATATATAATATGTAAGATAAAATATATGAAATTTGATGAGTGTGATATTCACACACCCCGTTTTACTTTTTACATATCCTTCTAATTTTCAACCGTCAGATCAGATGAATTGAAGAAAATCAACGGATAGAAATTAACAAAAGGTGTGTAAAAAATAAAATGAGATGTATGAATAACATATCCCAATTTGATAAACAAATTTCAATAGAGCAGATAATGTCATAAAATAAAATAAAAGATTCTTTAGAGATAAGCCTTTTTAACTTTTGTTTCTTCCAACATAAATCCATATATCATTAAACATTTAAATAAAACTCAAAATTCAAATTTGTTGACATGTGGACAAGAAAGTAACTTACTGTTACAAATTATTTACAATTTAAGTCACAACTTTCTGACTATAGTAACAAATCATATTATTATCTATAACAATGATGAATTTTGTTGATTTTTTTTTAACAAATGATATTATCTATACTAAGAGATGGGTGGCTTAACCTCATAATGGGTTAGCAATAATGTCATTCAAATTTGTCTTTGACGAGAATCGAACCTAAGACATCTTACTTACAAGTAAAAAGGAATACCACTAAACCGTAGTACTAAGTAGCTTCAAGGATTTTTTATAGAGCTACTAGACCCACCATATGTCCTATTTTTCCACTCACATTATAATCTCATCCACACAAAAAAGTTGAAAAAAAAATTGAAATGCTATTTCCTCACTCACTATTATTCCTAAAATAACCTCTAATATGCTCTTTTCCCACCCACCATCATCTTAAAAAATTAAAATACTATTTTTCCAACAATGAAGTCTCATCCGACGATAATCTATAAGCAAATGAATGTCCCTCTTAATGCAATTATGCACTCCAATACCTATCATTAATATGCAATCATCATAACTCTTTTCAGAATTTCTTCTATCCTCATCTTTAATGTCTTTTTTTGTGAATTTGGGTTACATATTATCCATTTCTTCCAAAACCGAATACAAGTAGGGCTCATGTTACCTTTTTACCCCCAACCTATTTTTATTACAAATATTTTAAGGTTCTTATTAGTCATTTTACAAATAGACAAACTTATAATTAAAATTTTCATTAAAAAGTGGGTGGAGAAATAAGACACTAGAATGAGAATAACACTTAAACATTGCTTCCATCTTCCTTTTTTTTAAAGCAGTCTAACATTTTAAAATTTAATTAATAGGTGTACTATTTGTTGGTGTAAAAAATTTTGGTCTTTTATAAGAGTGACTAAGATAATTGTAAATTTTTGATATGCACATACTTCGTTTATATTTTACTTAAACTATGGATAAATTAACTTTGAATTAAATAATGTCCATTTTTGTACTAATTGATTTACCTATATATAAATTTATTTATGATCAGTAAGTAAATTATTATGCATGTGTCATTGTCTTTTTCTTTTTTTTTTGAGCAAATGATAGTATTTACTTTTTACACTAAAAAGGTGGGGGAGTAGGCGAAACCTTACAAAGGGTTTGCTATAATAATGTGGTTTTGACTTCGCCTTTGAAGAGAATCGAATGTAAAACCTCTCACTTATAAGTGGAGAGAAATACTATTAGACTGTAGTACTAAGTAGCGCATGTGTCATTGTTTTATGTGCAAATAATTTATGTATATTAAACATTTCACATAATATTTCTTTATTTTGTAAATAACTTATTTTGCATGAAATTTTACATACATTAAACATTTTTTTATTAGTATATACATGTGTGTTTAAAAATAATTTACCCAGGTTTATATGCAAAAAATGATTTTTGTAACATTTATTTATTTTTTAGGTAACTTATTGCGCATGTGTTATCAAACCAACTCCAATGGTGGGCTAAAAGTCAAATTACCCTCCAAAATTTTCCCCCAAACCCCCTCCAACCCAAGGGGAAAATTTGGGCCAAATTTCCCCCAAAATGTAGCCCAGAAATCGGAGTAAACTCTATCCAATATTTATTGGAATTTAAATTTTTTTAGATTAAAATGTTCATAAAATTAAATTACGATAGTCTACATATTTATTTAACAAAAAAAATAGTCTAAGTTCATTCTTTAATAATCCCAGGCTAAAATTTTAGGCTAGAACAGTTGAAGCAGAAAATGTCACATCCCGGCCCGGGGGGGACCACTTCCCGGCCCACTCCACCACCGTAGCACAATATTGTCCGCTTTGGGCCCCGACCACGCCCTCACGATTTTGTTTTTGGGAACTCACAAGCAACTTCCCAGTGGGTCACCCATCATGGGATTGCTCTAGCCCTCTTCTCGCTTAACTTCAGAGTTCCCATGGAACCCGAAGCCAGTGAGCTCCCAAAAGGCCTTGTGCTAGGTAGAGATGAGAATGTACATTTAAGGATCACACCTCTGGGTGATGTGGGATGTCACAATCCACCCCCTTAGGGGCCCAACGTCCTCGTTGGCACACCACAACCAGGGTTAGGCTCTGATACCAAATTGTCACATCCTGGCCCGGGGGGACCACTTCCCGGGCCCACTCCACCACTGTAGCACGATATTGTCCGCTTTGGACCCCGACCACGCCCTCACGGTTTTGTTTTTAGGAACTCATGAGCAACTTCCTAGTGGGTCACCCATCATGGGATTGCTCTAGCCCTCTTCTTGCTTAACTTCGGAGTTCCCATGGAACCCGAAGCCAGTGAGCTCCCAAAAGGCCTCGTGCTAGGTAGAGATGAGAATATACATTTAAGGATCACACCCCTGGGTGATGTGGGATGTCACAGAAAAACTGTTTCAGGACTAAAAACTAAATTTTCAGGGCTAAAATATTCGGCTTTTAACCCAACCATTGGAGATGGTCTCATAGCTATTAGGCACGTTTAACTTTTTATATTGTAAGCAATGAATTTATAACATTAATATTTTCTTTTTGTTTTTTAAAATCATTAATCTCCTTATCATTTGCATGGAACTAATTGTGTTCATCACACATTCAGATAGAGGTATTTCAAGCATTAAAAAATTGTATAATGTATAAAGTTAAATATAATTAATAAATTTAATTATGTGAATCTAGCCACTGAATTTTTTTCGAATAAAAAATTTATATGGATTTATGCGGAGAAAATTATGTTTCAATAGTTTAAAGTCCATTTTCAATAAAAAGAAATCGTTGGGGACTTGTCAATTTGTTAGCTGAAGCTCAAACTCAAACTCTTTCTCTATTTGGAACTTGAGAAAGCTGAAAGATTGCAACTCCGCCACAAGTTTTGAGAAAACGGGAGGTGGGGCTGAGTTTCGATGGAGGGTGATGGAGATTTCTGAGTGGAATAGGATTTTCTTTGAATTCTCTTTGTGGGGATTCAAATGATCAATCAATCGTGTCCGTTCATCATAAATCATGCGGTGAGAAATTATTTTAAATTTTTTATTTAAAATTGAATATAAATAGTATTTAATGAAAATTGACCGCACGATACGTATTAAACGGACATGATTCATTCATTTCCAGATCCCTACTGTGACATCCCACATCGCCTAGGGGAGTGATCCTTAAATGTATATTCCCATTCTTACCTAGCACGAGGCCTTTTGGGAGCTCACTGGCTTCGGGTTTCGTAGGAACTTCGAAGTTAAGTGAGAAGGGGGGTAGAGCAATCCCATGATGGGTGACCCAGGGGGAAGTTGCTCATGAGTTCCCAAAAACAAAACCTTGAGAGAATGGTAAGTCCAAAGCGGACAATATCGTGTTGTGGTGGTGCCTAGGCGGGGATGTGACACCTACAAAGAGGATCTTGGTCTTTTCTTAGCTACCAGTTGGATATCTGACATGGGGAACATTGAGTTTCTAGTAAACTAGCATTCCTCTTAGAAGATTTTGGATCATGGTGTGTTACGTACGACTTACACGTTTTAAATGTATTTATATGCATAAATTGACAAAATAAAAGTCAAATATTTGAAGTAAATGAATAATTTTAGATCATGCTAGAAGAAATCCCTTATAAACCAATTAAAGCAGTTGAATTCACATAATAAAATCGGTTTCTATAGAATTTACATTAAGAGTAGAGAAAATAATATTTAATAAACAATTGATTGAATCACATTATTGCTAGTCCATTGTAAGGCTAAGCCCACCCCCTCTAGTGTAGATAATAAGGAAAACTAATGAAAAATGCTTGAAAACTTTGAGTTTTAACGATAAGGACAAAATAAAGGTAAAGTGAATAGTACTAGGATTGGCTTTTAATGTAAAAATATGGTTTTTCATTAAAATGAACAGTACCAGAAGCTTTTCGTTAAAGTTCCCTTGATAATATCGTTTGCTTTTTAAAAAAAAATAAAAAAAATCATTTGACAATTAATTTAATCACATTAATATCCGTGTGCGAAATACTTTTTATTTATTTATTTATAAAGAAAATAATATTTAATAAACAACTGATTGAATCACATTATTGCTAGCCCATTGTGAAGCTAAACCCACCTCATTTTCCTTAGTGTAGATAATATCATTTGTTAAAAAAAAATTAATCATTTGACAACTTGTTTAATTACATTATTATACACGCATCTTAAAATTTTTTATTATATTTTTCTTTCCCCTTCACATGGGCACCATCAACTTTCACTCATCTTTCCTTTTTTCTATTCTTTTCTCTCTTCCCATTTTATATATATATATATATATATATATATATATATATATTATATTTTATAATGATCAAATTACCCATGCATTATTTGATATATTATATTGGTCTCTTTTTGAATTTTTTGGTTAAAGGGTAATTTTGTCCTATTGTTTTTGGTCGAAGCCGTGACCCCAAAGTGGGGCTCTGGCTTTATATATTACTAGCTTTTCTGCACATGCTCACGTGTCACATCCCCGCCCAGGGGGACCACTTCTTGGGCCCACTCCACCACCGTAGCACGATATTGTCCGCTTTGGGCTTACTATTTCCTCACAGTTTTGTTTTTGGGAACTCACGAGCAACTTCCCAGTGGGTCACACATCATGGGATTGCTCTTGCGCGCTACTCGCTTAACTTCGGAGTTTTGATGGAACCCGAAGTTAGTGAGCTCTCAAAAGGTCTCGTGCTAGGTAGGGATGAGAATATACATATAAGTATCACTCCCCTGGGCGATGTGGAATGTCACAATCCACCCTCCTTAGGGGCCCGACGTCCTCGTCGGTACACACGCGGTCAGGGTTAGGCTTTGATACCAAATTGTCACATTTTGGCCCGGGGGGACCACTTCCTAGGTCCACTCCACCATCGTAGCACGATATTGTCCGCTTTGGGCTTACCATTCCCTCACGGTTTTGTTTTTGGGAACTCACAAGCAACTTCCCAGTGGGTCACCCATCATGGGATTGCTCTCGTGCGCTACTCGCTTAACTTCAGAGTTTTGATGGAACCCGAAGCCAGTGAGCTCCCAAAAGGTCTCGTGCTAGGTAGAGATGAAAATATACATATAATGATCATTCTCCTGGGCGATGTGGGATCTCACATCACGTGCGTGCAAAAGACATTTTTTTATCACGGCACGCTACGCTCGACTTACACATTTTAGATGCATTTCTATGCAAGGATTGGTCAAATGTATAGAAACATAAAATAAAGACGATTATCATCTCTAATAATACAGGAAATAATTTAAAGTAGTTATCTAGAATTTGTGAAAAAAAAAAAAGGTAATAAATAACAGAGAATATCCTTATAATTTAGTTGCAACTAAAAGCTAACTAAAAAGTATAAAAATAATCCAAGAACTTCAATTAACCTTGATACACTTGACAACAAAACATATTATGAACTCATATCGCAGTCCTGTTGAAAATTTAATGCGTTTGGTTAAAATCAAATATTAGCATTATTTGTAATTGAATTGCATTAAAAGTTGAAAAAAGGAATTAAACATTAAAAGAAAGAATATAACCTTATGTTGAATTCGAGGGAAGCAAAATATCTTTATACAAAACATTCTTTGTGAAGACTCCTTCATGACCAGTGTAATTCTCCTTTCTTTACCAAGACTTTTGTTGTAGACGCTGATACTCCTCTTGATAGGGCCACGTACAATTGTCCATGACTGAATACGTGATCTGGTAGATAAATACCCACATTTGGTATTGTTTGCCCTTGTGATTTATTTATGGTTAGTGCAAAACTCAATTTCACTGGAAATTGTTTTCTCATCATTTCAAATGGGAGTCCTGCGCTTTCTGTGGTCTTTAAAGAGATTCTTGTTAAAAACACTCTAGTTCCAGCAAATTGTCTAGATAAGATTTCAACATCAATTAGATTATTGTAAGCTCCATGGCAAGCCAGTCTTGTACCATTGCACAATCCCATCTTCGGATCGATATTTCTTAAAAGCATTATTGGGGCACCTTTTTCAAAGTTAACTGATGAGGGGGTCATTCCACCAGGTGAGATTGAATTCAAAAACTCTTGTTGATACAAATTTCTCACATCATCCTCAACAGAATTGAAAGAGTATAAGATATGTTCAGTCCCTGAAAATTTATCGATGATCATTTTATTAAGCTTGTCAGCATCCTCATTTTTTGGAGTTATAATTACTTTATCAATATACTATACCTATATCCATTCTCCTTTCCTTCAATTTTTGCCCTTTAGTAGTGGAATATAATTTTTGGTTGGTCTATCGAGGTGGTTTTTTTTCCTTCACAATTTTTGCCCTTTAGTATCGATATACTATATCTTTATGTGATGTTCTTTTTATATTTTTACTTTGCAAAAACAGCATAATGGTTAAGTTTTATTTGTTTTTAAGGTGTGCTAGCCATTCTAATCAATTTAAAACGTTTTTTTTTTCTTGATTTAGGGCCTATCACGATACTTTTAGATTATTAGTGTTAGGTTTCGTTTAATGATTCCATTACTTAATTGTTTTAAATTTTAAACTTTAGTTGTCTTGCTAAAAGTTTGATTACAAAATTACTTTGCCGAAACAAAGTTCACAATTTTTGGTTGGTCCTAAATCCTAAGATTGCATTGCACTTGGTTTCTTGGTTTTCTTAAAAATAATATAGTATATTCAATCACGTTGAGCACTGAAGATTATGAGGAGGGAAATCCTTGTTTTTATATTTTTCCCTTGACCATTATAGTTGAACTGTTATTTCAAGTTTACACAAAATTTTTATCACTTACCGTTCCAGATATATTCCTCTCCTTATTTTTTTGTTTTTTCTTTTGTTGTTGTTGGAGTACTTGTTAAAACGTTGGTCACTGTGGTAAATATATACAATTCAAATGTTCAAATTGTTATAGACATAACAAAATTATTAAATGGATGTTTCCATTGATAGTACAAAAGGCAATGACAATGTAAAACAACTATTCGTTCAATCTTAATGGATGTGTCTTAATAATTTGTACAAAAAAATATTCATACAACATATGGATTTACAAATATATAATTAATAGAGACAAAAAAAAAAAAAAAAGAAATATGTTGGTCTTATGTCATCTTGGTTTACTTCCGTTTGATTTTGTACTATATTTACCGAGTTCAATCGGGTTTGATAATTTGCATGTCGTCGCATTGAAATTCAAGCTCGCTGTGATGAATTCATAGATTGTCGTCTTTGCCCTTGTTGATGGCTCCTACGATACCTCTTGTTTGACTGTTGAGAATTGTGAACATTTGTTTGTCCGAAGTGAACTCCTTTATTGCCGACCTACATTGAGAAATTGCCAAAAAGAATGAATTTTATTTTTTTTGAAAGGAAGAAAAAATAAATCATCTCTACATAAGAGGAATAATGCAGATAAGGTAAGAACCTCTAACATATTGGTTCTATCAATTCCCTCCATACTTGATATGTTGAAGTCCTCTGGAAATCTTAAAACTGAAATTTCAATTTGATGATTCTTAATAAAAGTAAAATTGAAGAAAAATATGGAAACATAGCGTTGAAATTCAACAATGGAAATTGATGCTTGTACAAATTAGATCACAGTTAAAAGATTCATGAAATGTACACTATCGAATTGACAGAATACATAACATTGAGAATTTCGAAAAGGAAAAAACACAGACTAACGCAAACTAATAGGAGGGAGCCAAACATATACCACCATAACCAAAATTAAGACAATAGGCATTAAAAAGTGATGCCCTTAACGGCATTCAAAGTAAATATTAAACATGCTATGCGATTGTCTACCATCTAACAAAATTAAGAATGGATAGGGAAATACTTTAGTAATGAAATGAGGGAAATACCTTAGTAATGCAGTAATTCTGTTTGTACTTCTGTTTGAATGATCCACTAATTCACTGCACCAAAGCATATTTAACCAAAAAGAAATGAGGAGAATGTAGACAGGGAATTAATATTAGTAATGCAAACCACTAAATGAAATGCATGTATACCCACTACCGATTAATAATCCAAGTTTGTAATCCCTATATAAGCTTGCCAAAATGAAACTGAAAATGAATTATGGTAAGTATACATATATGTACGTCCAAGTTTGTAATCCCTATTTAAGCTTGACAGACAGGGAATTGATTTTAATAATGCAAACCACTAAATGAAACACATATATACCCAATACCGATTAATAGTCCAAGTCTGTAATCCCTATCTAAGCTTGCCAAAATGAAACTCAAAATGAATTATGGTAAGTATACATATATGCACGTCCAAGTTTGTAATCCCTATTTAAGCTTGACAGGACCAAAACAATTTAAGGTTGAGAAGTATTTTTACTTTTAACGGTGATACACAGCTTTAATCGCTGAAAATGGTGGAATGGAAACCTGGGAGAGGGAATGAAAAAAGAATTTGATAGAATATCGGGGTAGTTGTCGGAGGTTACTAGGAAATAGATAAACACTACGTCTCATTTTACACAAAAACTCCCTAGACCAATAAGCAGCTCCACAGGGAAGCAGTTCAACAACAGTCACTGCAATACCTATGCCAATGAAAAATACAGAAATTGCAGATTAAATGAACAAAATTTACGAACAGAATATGGGCAAAATAGATAAAAATAAAAAATGCATAAGTAACTTAAAAACTGCACATAAACAGAAAACTTTACTTGCTGCTGTTAGGTATTCCTCCCATTTGCAGATCTGATTGAGCTAATTTTCCGGAGCTTACCCTATGTGAATCACAAGCACCCAAGAGAAAGCAAACAATGAGAGGTGCAAGCATATTTGTAGAGCACTTAGATTATTTTCTATCAAACCCATTCTTCAGAAACCATTTAAAAAAAGGGAGGTTGCTAAATTTCAGTTCTTACATATCACATCCCTTTTAATAACACACCAATCTCTGGAAATGGTGGAAATTTAAAAAAATGCATAAGTAACTGCACATAAAAAGAAACTTTACCTGCTGTTGTTAGGTATTCCTCCCATTTGCAGATCCAATTGAGCTAATTTTCCTGAGCTTCAACCACGGACCCAATCATGAATCCCTAAATTTACCCAATCTTAACAAGATGAAGAATTTAGTACAAATATTTAACCGAGCAGTAAACTTCGAAAGCAAAAAGAGCTACGAAAACAAAATAGAAAATAGAATGGTTAAACATACAACAAAACATGGAAGAGAAACAAAAGAGAACAAGACCATTTTAAGTCAATATGCATGTTGTGAGTCTTTGCTTCTTAGTAGCCGCTTAGCTCCTGTGAACTCTGTTTCTGTAAAGTAATTTAGTAATCAAACTTTCAGCAATACAACTTAAGTTTGAAATTTAAAACAATTAAGTAATGTAATCATTAAACGAAACCTAACACTAATACTCTAAAAGTTTCGTGATAGGCCCTAAATCAAAGAAAAAACGTTTTAAATTGATTAAAATGGCTAGCACACCTTAAAAACAAATAAAACCTAACCATTTGTTTTATAATGCTGCTTCAAAACTACAGTTCTTGTCTTCCGTAGCGTCACATATTCATCATTGGGGTGTTTTATTTTATTTTTATTTTTTTTGGGGACATTGTAGCACCTAAATGCATTGACATTACCAAAGTCTATAACTGTAGAAATTAAGAAAATAGCATAATTAACATTCTACAATCATTTCATAAATTGTCAGTTTCATCAAAAGTCTGGTACCAAGAAACCAAGTGCAATACAATCGAATGTAATACTCAGATAAACAAAAGAGAGACCAACGTCCCTCCACCAACTACCCATTACAAAATATGCATAAAAAAATAGATGAAGATAAAAAATCCAAGCAACAAATGAGAAAATTTTCGAGCAGTACAACCATGTAAATGAAGAAGGAAAAAGATAAAAATACAGAAAATGCAGACTGCATGAACAAAATTGATGTACAGAATATGGGCAAAAGAGATAAAAATGAAGAATGCAAAGTAACTTAAAAACTGCAAATAAAAAGAAAACTTCACCTGCTGCTGTTAGGTATTCCTCCCATTTGCAGATCCGATTGAGCTAATTTTCCAGAGCTTACCCTATGTAAATCACCGGCACCCAAGAGTACAAACCAATAATATTAAGATTGACATGAGCAAAAAGATTGAGAGTTAAGAAGCTGTACCGAGGAAGACTCTTTGAAAATAAAAGATTAAGATAAATATGTTTTTCACTCTTGACTTTTCAATTAATAATTAAGCATGACATAGGTTCTGAATTGAATTGGTGATGGTAAAAATGGAAAATCAAGTCATCAATACCCGCTCGAATTTTTCAGAGCTTCCACTTTGTAGTCCCAGTCCATATTCAGAAATTTGCAAGGAACAAAGAAAATGAAAAGAGTGAAAAATAAAAACTGGATTGGTGGTGTAAAATGTAAGCACCTGAGCAAGTTGCAATTTTTTTGGGTGCCCTCTCCCTCTCCGCTTGATAGAAAGAAATAATCAGTAGGGATGCATAAAACACAAATATTCTAACAAACCACATTGCACATCCAAATAGACTAAAGAATCAACATATTGAAGTTGAATTGGAAATAGCTCTGTCAATGCCCAAATTAACAACAACAAAAAAACCTAAAATTAAACCCTAGTTTTTTAAATTGGGAAGTTGGGTACTTGGAAAAAATGGAAATGAGGCATCCGTAGGTGGAGGAGAGAGAATATGCAGAGGATTTGCATGCACCCAAGAGAAAGCAAACAATGAGAGGCGCAATCATATTTGCAGAGAATTAGATTTCTTTCTCATTAACGACAGGAAAAAAACCCAAAAATAAACCCTAGTTTTTTAAATTGGGAAGTTGGGTACCTGGAGAAGATGGCAATGAAGGCGGCGGCAGCGTAGGTGGAGGAACACGGCCAAGAGATGGGCTCCTGAAAGTGGGCGTCCGGGATCGAAGGTGTGAAGAAGGATGGGTTCCGAGATGCGTTCCAGAGTCTGGTTCCGAAGATTGGGCTCTTTTCGATGATTCATCTGTGTGTAGCGGTGGTATGTGGGTAGTTATTGTTTAACCTTCAACTGAACTCAGATCGTGGGAACATTAAACTGCTCTCTAGTTTCGATCGTGGGAACCGTAAAACTCTCTGGTTTTGACTGATAACTGAACTGGCAACTGTACTCTTTTTCACTTTCATCCCACGTTTCAAATTCTGTAGTTAATGTTTTTACCTTTCTATCCCTTATCAAAAGTCTGTATACTGTATTGCATGTTATAAAAAGATCAAAGTTAGAAGAATAACTTTTTTAATGGTAGGTGCAAGGTAGATATAAAATGCCACACTAAAATTATAGCACAAGCAGATAACAAATAAAAGGCAGAGAAATAGATGATGTTACTGATATTTTTATCTCGTTCTCTTCTTCTTATATTTTCTGTAACTTGAAAACATACGAAGTGCTCTATTTATAGAGCAACTCCAAACTGATGCAGTTAATACATTTTGAAACTTACGACACTTCCTTTGACAATACAATTTCTATGTATTTTCATATTCAACTTTCACTTTGCATGGGCATTAAAAACTTATGCCCATGCTGAAGAATTTTGCTAATGAACTGTTGGCATTCATTACCCATCAAACTTTTCAACATTGCACTACTTAAGTTTTTTTGTTTCAAGGGCTTTTGTGTCTAGTTCCTTTTCGTAAAACCTTGGGACACAAAACTCTCATTATGACTTTCAAATATTAAAGATATTATAAATGTCGTTACTTTGCTTTGGTGGCTTTTGCTTTGGAAACTCTGTTTATGGCTCGGATCCTGTATTGCCGTCCACAAACCATCTTCGGGTGCATAAATATATATGAGTGGGATGGGAAGGACGTGACACCATGAATACCGCTAACCTACCATTTTATTCAAGAACTGGTAATCCAAAAGAAAATTTTGTTTTTACAAGAGAAAAATATTTTTCATACATTTTACGGTCTTTGACTTTTTTGTTTTTTCATATTTTCTTGATTCACGTATAATTATTTAGATCTAATGACAATGAAGAAGGAGAGTAACAAAATAATAGAGAGCGAAAATCATTTCACTTCTATATAATGTGGTACATAGTCAATTTTATTTTTTATACTACTGTTGTGATGTTAGAATATGATACAAGTGATTTGATCTCGAAAGCTCTTTGTGAGAAGTTTTCACCAAATACGTAATGCTAATTACTTGTGGACTCATGAATATTTTCCTGTTGGGAACAAAGTTAAAAGGCTTTTAAACATTGAATCGCTGATTCTAGGAGCTTTTTTACCTGTTGGCAATGCAATTGCTCCAAAACATCTCCAATGGGCCAAAAAATGGAGGGCATAGTGGTGGGTCAAGCAATGCTCGTCCAAATGTCTGTGCAATTTAAAGCCGGTCTTGCGACAGCAGGCATGGTTGACTTCAGTGTTCCAAGAATTCCAGCCTAGTGCCTAGGCGGTGCTAAACAGCTGATCACCGTCATTATTAATTATTAGGGGTTTAAGAATAAGATTGGGCATCTAGACCTGCCTAAAAAGCCGCCTAGGCACTTGCCTACATTGCAACTCTCACTTAGACAAAAACTAAATAACTTCCACTTTGTTTTTATTTTTCAATAAATTTTTGGATACTTGTATGAACAATCATTATATACTTGTTCCCAATAATTTGAATATGTTTTAGTACTTTATAATTTAAATTGCATTCTATTTTGTAATTTATATATTCCAATATAATTATGTATTTTTTAAGTATAAGTAGACATTTATTTATGTGTTATATAATAAATTAACTAAAATTAAAAACCCACCTAAATGCCTAGGCACTAGGCCTCTTCCCGCTGCCCGACTAGTGCCTTTAGAACCTCGATTAATGTTAGCTAACAAAACCTACAATGGTGAGGCCTGCTGCAACAGTTCCAACAGAAGAGCACAACGGCTCCATGATGTGGCGCAATGAGAGGTGTTCGATTTCCAATGGCCCGATAACTTGGACGGTTGGATTTTCGAAGGAAAAAAATTGAAAAATTACCGTTGTGCCATGCGTGCCATGTGGTACATTCTGGTGCATCATATTCAACAGTAAGAAAAAACAAATGGTCAAGATTAATCCAATTGTTAAAAATGAAAAAATAGAGGAAAAATGGAAAAATTAAATTTTTTTTATTCTATAAATACCCAACAATTTTCTTCATTCTCCACACCACAACTCAGTATTCCATAAATATCCAACCACTTGTTGCCTTGTTGTAATCATGCGCTTTGCTTTGTATTTGAAATTAAATTATTTGAGTTAAACATGAGTTTTGTTTTCAAAGAACAAATTTATAAAGTTCACACTCAAAAACACAAGACATAAAAAATATATTTGTGAATAGTAAACGCCCTCACAATTGCCCAACGGGTGGAGTTGCACAATGGCAATTACTTTTTAGAGTGACAATTACTTGCCATTGCCCTTACCCTTGTTCTTCTCCAACCCTCCAACAGTGGAATTCCTCTAATAATTTTGGAGAGAAGTGTCTTAAGAATTTGCTCCCTTGCCAAGTTGCCATGCCTAACTTTTTTAAGAGATCGACATTTTGTCCAACATGTTGCTTCCATGACATAATTTAAGGGTAGTGAAACAAGCGAGCAGGAATGTATGGGGAACAACATTCCCTCGTCCTAGTGCAGATCCACCACTATCGTTAATTAAGTTAAAATTTATGCGTTTTATTATGTTCGAAACCTATCTTTTATCCGGTCATCCAACCTTCCTGTACGCATTCAATTTATGTGCTTTATTTAACCTCAAATTAGAACAAGTGAAGAAAGAGAAACTTCAGTAAGATATGTATCCAACTCTATGGGGCCAAAATAACTAGAACTGTATTCGGGAGCTTCTTTTTTCATTATTATGAGCTTAATCACATGCCACATATTGGCTTCAAGAGATTCAAGTATATTCACACACAGTACAACGCAATCTTCCTCGCATTTTTTTTATTACACAGCAGAAAACCAATACAACTTGTCTTCAGATCAAGACATGATAGATATATATATAGACACCTGCAGTACACTTGTAACATTTTTCCCCAGTAGACAAGAAGCGGTGGAACATTTCTCTCTTTCCGAAACTCAAAACGAGAAGTTCATCATGTCCAGGCTCAAGCTCTCCATCATCACAGTTTCCATGAATCCACAACTAGTCGGTGCCTTCTTGAAACTGCTACCTCGGGGCTTTAAGTAACAAGCAGAGATTGGAATGATGGGGATGTTCTCACAGTTGCAGAGCTCGATCATATACCCATCCGGGTCATGGAAGAACACCTGGTCGACCTTGACCCCATCGTCCTCCACCACGGCTGTCACGTACCTCATCCCCATATCTTGCAGCCTCCTCTTAACAAGTCCAACATCAGTGCACTGCATGTTCATCACCGATAAATATCTGTTATATTTGACCATAATTAATATTACAGGTTCTATAAGTAGCAGTGCAGCTCTTACTTGGAAGGAGATGTGGTTGTCCTTGGGATTGATCGGTCGCAATTCATAGTCTTCCATTGCTGGACTTTCAATCAAGTGTATCCCAATGCCATAGTTATACAACCTACACAAGGTCAGACAGATTAACTAGTTATTTTCTTTTACACAAAGCCGTGGATATGCATGTATTTGTTTACAAGATACAACCGTAATATTCAACTTTGCTGCATGTGAAAAACAAGTCTATACTGTTAGGCCTTATGTTTATTGAATTTTATTTTTGGCACTCTAAAAAGCATGATAAGAGAGAGAAAGCTAACCAGGCTCCATTGAAGTTGAAAGACGAGGGGCGTTTGATGAGAACAAAGCCCAACACTTCTTCATAGAACCTCATAGAAGTCCACACTGATCTGCACAACAAAGACACATGATTTAAAGAGAGCAAAGGCAGTGCCTCGCAGTTGCTGGCTTCCTCAATCTCCATATCACACTCTTACGATAACTCTCACTTGCACTTAGTCTCTCTTTGATTTTTCGTATGCCCTGCATCACAAAACTAGAAGGGAGTGCCTTTTATAAAGCCACACTTTGGAGCATCTTTCAAGTCCTATTCGAAATTTTGCACAGCATCCTTACTCTTGTGAGGAACTTTCCTTGCAGATTCTCACAAGTCACATCTGACAAGTTAAATCTAGTCATCCTCTTAGCTAATGTCCACCTTGATATATTGGGAGGGGTGTAATATCTTTGAATGCCACATAGACTATGTCACAGTAGAGGGTATTTTTTCCACTCAGGGCGGAGAGGAAAAATCGAATTTGGACTCTCCCATCGTTGGGAAGAGAAATAACATTATACCAAAAGCTAGTTGGTATGTAAAAAGATAAGTACTTCTTTTAGACACTCTGCAATTTTTTTTTTTTTTTTTTTTGAGGCTTGAACCCATTTCAAGTTCAAATGCTAACACAGAGTTTGCTAGCCTAAAGCAAAAACAAAGACAATTCTGGTGATTTGAATTTGACTCAACCTTTGTCGGAATCGAGGCCTTTTCATTAGTTCTTTGAAGCTTTTGAAAACAGGGAACAACAAGGTGCCAAAACTTTGAGAAATTTCTTTGATGTTTCCTCTCCCGCATCGCATTCTTTGTCCTCTGATCTTATAAACTCAACAGATCCAAAATCGAAGTTAGGGCGAGATATCATCACCAAGAGATTGATACGTCCCTTTGAGCAAATTTCGGACGGTAGTAATCAAAATGTTTTGAATGTGTTTCTAATTCTCTCTAGCACATGTAGCCTGACTTTGGGGATTTGTTAATATGTTGTGCCCTGTTTAATATATGAAAGTGACAAAAAGTACTGGCATGACCATTTTAATCCGTCATATGTTTTGTAGCTTTTTCAATATTTTTGGGTGATTCTATATCTTGTGTTTAGGCGTTTGTCTTCGGTAAATTTTTGCTTTTGGGCTCTTTTTTTTTATTTTTTTTTGGTAAACTGGACATTTATTTCCAGGATAAAGCCGAAGTACAAGGAAAGCCCAACAAAGGACTAACAGGAATACAACAAAGGAGTGTAAGATGGATACAACAAAAGAATTGACACTGAAACAACTTCACAGCATCACCCTAAACACTCCTACAAAACTAAACTTGATGTGGGCAAGGCAGTCAATCTTTGTTCAAAATATG